AAGCAGTTAAGAACATTTTATAGCTCTTTCTGTTCTGTTTTCTTTTTTTTTTTTTCATGTTCTTAGCACAGGCAGATTCTTGTGCATTTCCTTCCCTTTCTTCCTCATATAAATGGAGCTGCTGCTGCCAAACAAGAAGGTACATGGGGTTGCAATGCCAGGCCATAAAAACGCTTAGCATTTCTTTCCCACCACCTTACCCCTTGACCAATAAGGACCCCATCAGGACATGGCCCACCCCCCTTCTTCCCACCCCTAAATGTAGTCTCATCTTTTTGAATCAGGTAGCAATTATGGGTGATAATGGACAGAGCCAGACGCTGTTATCCTTTTATGCTTTACCGAGGAAGATGTGCTAACGTGCGGCATCTCAGCTCTGTGCTGTCGCAGCATCCGAGTTGCTGATGGAAGCATGAACGCTCATTAGCATTTTAAGAGATTTTAATAAAAATTGTTAGTTTGACGATTGAAATGGGACAGGTTTAATCAGGAGTGCCATATTTTAATCTCTCTGGTGCTATTTCAGTCCTTGCTTCAGAGGAGAACAGTTCTCTTACAAGAGATGAGGAAATTCATGAATAGTGGCTGGGAAGCGGTGAGAATTGTCTGCAGTCATAGCTTTGTCCCCTGTGTGTTTCTCTGCTCTTTGTCTGCACATCTCTCGGGGCACTAGGAAAGCTTTGTTTTATATTTAACAACAGACACTTCACATTTTGCCGGATATCTGTCCGGAGAGCTTGGTGAATGCCCAGCTTTTCTTGAACCCTTGGAACACCAGGCTTCATTCCTGGGAGGTCAAGTGACCCTAACCACTAACTGTGTGATACAAGAAGCGTCCGAAGTGCAGATTCGTGCCTCTGAAAAATGGCTTCGTCTCGGGCATCTTCAGAGTCATTTTAACCACAAGCCATTAGAAACCATAGGTAGAGGTTTCACAGAAGGGCTTTGCCTGGTGATGTGACCCTCCTGACGAGATTGCAAACTGCTGGGCAGTGATGACTGTGTCCCTTCATCTTTGATCCTCTAACCCTCTCGTTTGTTGCCATAGATGTTACTAAAGAAGTGAGGAGGGGGCCTCCCCAGTTGCACAGCGGTTGAGCGCTGGGTTGAAAACCTGCCCGCAGCCTCTGCAGCGCGATCTGCTCCCCGGCCACCGGAGGAGGGTCCCCCATGGCGCGCAGACCTCTCCTGCCGCCCGCTGCTCCCCTCAGCAGTGTACTTCGGGCCTTCTGCCTGCTCTGCTCCCCGTTCTGGCTCTGGTGAATTCTCTCACCCTTCTGCGCTTCTGACTGTACCCAGTGCTTGTATAAACAAAACAAACAAACAAACAAACAAACAAACAAAACATGTCTTAAAAAAAAAAAATGTGAGGAGGGAGAGCCTCCCTGGAGGCACAAGGGTTGGAATGCAGCCTATGAGGCTGTCCGTGGCCACTGCAGCATGGGTTCCATCCCCAGCCAGCCAGCCAGGGAGCTACCCACATGGCACAGCAGACCTCTCCTGCCTCGCCTGCTGCTCCCCTCAGCAGTGTATTTTGGTCTGTCTGCCTGTTCTGCTCCCCACTCTGTCTCTGGTGAATCCTCTCACCCCCCTGCACCTCTGGCCTGTGCCCCAGTTCTTGTGTGCATGGATAAATAAATCTTTAAAAGAAAAAAAAAAAAGTGAAGAGGGAGGAAAAGAAAATTGTCCCTGGGTCAAATTATGTCCCTGTTGCTGTGATGTAATAAAACTATGCCTGTGTCTTTCATGTTTTTATTTTCTTCATGAAAGCATTAATTTTTTTTAAAGAAAGGAACATATTTGCATAGTAATTAGATAAGTCATCCCTGTTAATTCTATATAGATTTTTTTTTTTAATATATAATGCTTAAGAGCTAACACTTTTAAAAGTCAGTTCAAAAGTTGAAAAATGATCTTTTGGTGCAATTAATTGCTAAGAAAGCTGGTGCTTATGTCAGATTTCCTGGTGCTTTTGTCAAATTTCCTGGTGCTTTTGTCAAACTTTGTTAGGTACACATGAAAGCAGGCTTAGCCTGGCCTATGTGCTCCCCCTAGCTCATCTCTCCCTCAGTACATCCGCCTCTCTCCCGCCTCAGGCCACCCTCTCCTGCAGCCCAGTTGCCACTTTCTTTTAGTCTCCAGAGCAGCAGCTTCCACCACCTGCTCTGTGTCCTGGTCTCTGTCACCTCAGAATCCCAGCACAACCCAGGTTTGTGATTGCTGGACTGTCAAGGGAATTGAGTTAGGAGGGAAAGGGAGCTTAATCAAAATAAACACTGGGAGAGTTACAGTAGTTCACAGGAACTCAATTAATAAACACTTGGAGGAGTCACTCACTCACTGAAAATGTAAATGGAGGCAAAGATGCTGAAGTTTTAGCCTCTTCTGAGACTTACTTCTCAGTGCTTGAGTGCGACAGGATACCTTTGCTTGCCATAAACCAGAACCTAGTCAGATTAGCTCAAGGAAAAAGAACTAGTTGGAAGAATGTTACCTGTCTGCGGGAGAGCTTTGTGAAGGCCTGGGAAGAGGGCAGGGTGGAGAACAAAGGTTGCTCTTAGGAGCTCACCCTTCCCCCAGCTGTCAGCATGGGGGGAGATGCTTCCTGCCCAAAGTCCAGGCCTGACCCAGCCAGCTTTGGCCTGCGAGGGGTGTGGCTGTCCATCCTGTGCTGAGATATAGATATTTTATAGGGGCAGGTGGGCTGCTCAGTGCTCATGGTCAGTTCTGGCCATTGATGAGCCACCCTCTACCCTCTGCATCTCCCTCCCCACCAATCCAGGAGGCAAGCAGGGATCAAATGTATCAAGCGCTCCATCTTCTGCGATCTGCTCCCTGGCCACCAGATCCACATGGCGCGCATCAGCAAAATTCTCTTTCTGACTGTACTGCTTCCATGCAGTATCTTTCCATTTATCTCTTGAGATATAAATTACCAGAAAGTTGGTAAGTTGTGTAATCAACAGTTAAACATTTTTCAGTCACTTTTGTTACAAGCCACTGACCGTGCTAAATGATTTTACATGTATGAGCTAAAATTAATGCTGCAGAAAATCATTGAGGTGGCTGATATCTCCATTTTCAGAGCAGAAAATTAAGATTTGGAAAGTTTAAGCAACTTTTCAAGTACATTATAGTTGAATTAGTGCAAGTATTAAATGCATGGGGAAAAGAGTGTCAAACAATGGAACAGGTCGGTAGGAGGTTGACATGGCTGGTATCATCATTCTGAAGACTTGGGGATTATTTTGTTGGTCATGAGACTTTTGGATCCTAGACTAGGTGACATCAGAACTATTTTTTGGGAAAATTTCTTTGGCAATAATGAGTGGAAAGGACAAGACTGACAGTAAGAAAACCTTTGATGAGGGTCCAAGAGCAGCTGGAGGAAGAGCAGGGAGAGGGGATGGCTTCGAGAATGTTGTGGTTTCCTTTTCGGCTTCCTTTAAGTCTCAGGCCTTTGTTTTTAACAGTCCAGCTTTGTAACAGAGTCCTGCTGTTTTTGGAGTTGCCTTTTATTTCAGAGGCAAAAAATGAGAATTAGGACAAAGCAAAATATATTTTGAAAGTCTTGTGAGGCAGCAAAATGAATCAAGTCCGAGGATGCAGGTGATCAACTGAGTGCAATGTTTCTGTTGGGTTTAGGGATCCACCGGCACGCCCACGTCTCACACAGCTGCACTCCTGAGTGTGGTGGCAGAAACACATGAGAAATGAGCTAGGCTGCTCAGGAAAGGTGCTGCCTGCGCGGAGGGGTGTCTCAGCCTGCTTTTCCATGGCCTCACAGGATGCACTGCTGCTGGGCTGTGGTCTGTACAAGGTGCAGTTATATAGGATCTGAGAAAAGAGCCCAATTTTGACATGGCTCTTATTCTTGAGGTTCATATTTTACTCCAGAAGAACTTGTGGGTGGTCACGTTAGAAGGACTGTTTATATAAGTATTGGGTTTTCCTGGGTTTTGTATCAAATTCAGTATTTATGAGGGTCTCCACTTCATCCAGAGAGAATATGGACCCATGCCTCCAAGTTGTGGGTGCTCCGGAAAGGCGGTCCCCTGTTCTGGACCCACATCATTTAGTATGAGTTAGGTCCTTGGTGTACCAGGCTCTGCGCTGTGTGCCTGGGGCGCAGTGGTGAATGAGGCACGGCCATCGTAGGGCAGAAGCTGCCAGGACAGTTTGTGTATAAAGAAAGGATGTAAAGTGCTGCTTAGTATTTGGCAAGTTGTTTGACCTTGTAAGCTTCTGGAAGGAATAACTTGGAAGGAAGGGGAGGGAGAGAGGGAAGGAAAAATCCCCTAAGTCTAGGGAATAATAAACATTATATGAATAATGTGAGTTTTTCATTTCACCTAAGAACTGTAGCTATTTCTACATTAGACTGTGAACTTTACTTTTCTGGAGTTGGAAGCTACTTTTTAGTTTCATATTTCCCTTGGGTTCCTTCTAGTAAAATCCTGCCAGTGCTCACGAGGTCCTGTTGTCTAACGGTGGATGAAGAACAGGGCTGAGCCAGGGCTTCACTCTGGATCCTGAGTCCCCTGCAGGGGTGGAAGGTGGTGCAATCCTGGGCCTGGAGGTCAGAGGAGCTTAATCTTTGCAGGGCCTCCCTGAGGCCAACCATAGGAGAAACAGTGGGACTTGGGGACTCACTGCTGACAATCTTGGAATTTATGTAGTTCTAAGCCTTCTTTTGCCACTAATAAGTACCTTGCTCACCTATGATGATGCAAAAATATTTCACTGAGGTCAAAAGTAGTATAATACCAAAGAGTGACGTATTGTTAATTCCTGACATCTAGTCAGAATTGGAAATACTGTATTTAAGGAAGAAATGCCTTAATGTGATGTACATAGGGAGAAAAGTGAGATGAGATGAAGGGAGTACTTCCTCTGTTTCTCATTAGTTTTCACATGCTCTGAGCCTTTTCTGTGATCTCAGGATGGGCTAAAGATTTGTAAATTTCTCCTGATAAATAATGGCCACTTTGTTCTTTCAGCAGATTTCTGCGCATGGCAGATCTTCTTCCACTGTGAACGGTGGACCTGAACTTGACCGTTGCATGAGTCCTGAAGGTAGTTGTCAGTCTGATGATGCTTTTTGTAAAGGAAGTCATCCATGCAAATGTGGTGGCCCTCAAAGGTGATCTTCCTAAACAGGAAGTGGTTACCTCTCCAATTAGCCCATTTATCTTTAGTGGACAGGGTCACATCAAGATCTAGATAATCTCCTTGTTGTCAGTTAGGCAATCCCAGTGCAGACTTTACACTTGGATTTATCGGCAGTCTGCTCACAGTTCCTAAATGTAGACACTCAGTTCTCTCAGTTAGGTAACGAAAGTGTTACCTAACAAGAATAGTCTCATGTCTATGAGGTTCTGGGCACTGGGATGCATTGTGAAAAGTAGTCCATCTTAACCACTTTTTCCTTCTGCCCTGCCTTTATGAGAAGACTGAGGCAGGGTTAACCTTAACAAAGTATCCTAGCTGGCTAGAATTTTCTTCTTTAGAAAATCTTGAGATTTCTAAGATTGAAACCCTACCTTCATCCCCTTCCCCTTTCTTGAGAGTTCTGTATACAGAATTTTAGTTTGACTTCTCTTTACCCAAAGTGCTAATCACACCTTTCAGCTGGTATTTCAGGGATGTGTTGGGTTTATTGATTATTTGATATTTGATCCACACTAACCAGGTCAGAAGGAAATTGGTGACTCAAAATGTGCCAAGAGATTTTCTGTAGTTTCATCATTGATTTAAAAATAAATGCATTGCAATTTATTATTTTACAGATATGTACGGATCCAGATGAAGTACTCATGTGCTTGTTAAACCATTTTTATCCATTTATTCAGGTGTGAATGGAAACAGGTGCTCGGAATCATCAACTCTGCTTGAGAAATATAAGATTGGCAAGGTTATTGGTGATGGCAACTTTGCAGTAGTCAAGGAGTGCATGGACCGGTGAGTGAAGATGGAGGATAATCATTTGTTCATCTACTCATGCATTTCCTCCCTTGGAGTTTATTCTTATCTGAATGAACAAAAAAGGCCTTCCTGGGACGTCTTTGGCTCCCTTTCTGAAAGAGTTTATCCTGGGAACAGACATTTGCATGCCCACAAGTAATTGGACGAGGAAAAATATATGTATTCACTAATACATATAGAAACATACATGTAACACATATATAAACCTGCTTCATTATGCAAACATGAACTGAGAGATTTATCAGTTTTCATTCCTGAGCCAGAGAGAAATTTAATCAGTAAAATCAATTTTTATAAATCTCCTTTAACACTTACCTGTGCCAGGTGCTGTTCTCAGAACTACTTACAGTAACTCATTTAATTCCCATCTTATCCCTCTGAGTTATTACTTATTTGCATATGCCAGTAGTTGAGGATACATGAGCTCTGACTATCATTAAGATTAGAATCGGTCAATATTCTGTTTTTCTTTGCCCAGCTTTATTTTGTTTAAGGTGTTAAATTCTCAGATGATAAACAATCCATTATTTTAAAAATCCAGGTCTTTTGTAAATCTGGAAAAGACTCAGCCTTTACATCTCTGGCAGTGCTTTAATTTTCCTTATATTGGTACTCAAGTTCCTATCCTATAAATCTACTACTTAGGTCTGGTACACAGTTTTACCACACAAGTAACAAACTAAACATCTAAAATGTGACTACTGAAGACATCTTAGAATCCTGGAGCAGGGTTTGGTTTATGTTACTTAAAAAATTTAAGTTTCTTCTTCTAAAAGAGGCCTGAGCAATGTGTATAATGTGGCCAAGCATCTGTGCCCAGGGAGCAGATGTGTGCCAGGAATACTGCATTGTTCATGCTCAACTGTTTTCCTTACTGAACGATATCTTTTGGCATGTTCAGATTAAATTATCCTAAAGGAGATTAAAAGTTAAATACAATATCAAGTAAGTGATCTCCCCATGACCTGATATGAGCATTGAAAACATTGGGGGAAGAAAGTTTCAAGTCCACTCTGAGCAAATTCTGAAATTCTGTGACCTTTTCAGTTTTGATTTATGGACTAATTTTGATTAATAAATTAAAAATGTTGCTTATAGAAAAGTTTCATTAAAACTGTTTTCTAACTTCTGGGAGCACTATTTTGAGATTTATATATAGAAAAGCAGTTTCTTATCCAGGTCTGATACAACTGAGTTTTATATACTTTACATATGTAAGTCACGGAATAATTATCAATATCTGTAAGTGGTGATGTGGCTTTTGGTTGTTCTTTTTCCTTTTTCCCCCTAACCCCACAAAACATTGTCTCCGATTTGCAATGTATGAGACAGACAGGTTTCATGTCTTCCTTCCCCGAGTCTATGCTGTAGAGGATGTCAGGAATAGTGGTGTCTTTGATTTGTGTTTTTAAATGCATTTCCTCTGATTATTCTGTAGGTCTACTGGAAAGGAGTTTGCCCTAAAGATTATAGACAAAGCCAAGTGCTGTGGAAAGGTACAGTATACATTCCTTCTTCGTTAAAGAAACTGAAAAATCTTGGAGAGATGCTCACTGTGGTAAAGGAATTTAAGTGGGAATTCACAAGACCTTAACAGGAGTAGACAGCTGGTAATAGTGGAAGAAACACTATCAGTGTTTTTCCCCTGCCACTTTTTAAACACTCAGATCTAAATAGATTGAGTTTTTCTTTTTCTTTCTGGCTTATTTCGCTGAGCATGATCCCTTCCAGCGCCATCCATGTTGCTGCAAATTGCATGTGCTTATCTTTTTTGAATGCTGAGTAATATTCCATGGTGTATATGTACCACATCTTCTTGATCCAGTCATCTATTTTTGGGCATTTGGGCTGTTTCCAAAGCTTAGCTATTGCAAATAGTGCTGCTATAAACATAGGGGTGCAGGTGTTCTTTGGAATTGATGTTTCTGTGTCCTTTGGGTAAATACCTAGGAGTGGAATTGCTGGATCATATGGAAGCTCTATGTTTAGTAGGTCCAGGAATCTCCACACAGCTCTCCATAGTGGTTGGACCAGTTTGCATTCCCACCAACAGTGCAGGAGAGTTCCTTTTTCTCCACACCCTCGCCAACATTTGTTGTTGCTAGTTTTTTTAATATGTGCCATTCTCACTGGTGTAAGATGGTATCTCATGGTAGTTTTGATTTGCATTTCCCTGATGACAAGTGATGTTGAACATTTTTTCATATGCCTGTTGGCCATTTGCATTTCCTCTTCAGAGAAGTTTCTTTTTAGCTCTTCTGCCCATTTTTTGACTGGGTTATTTTCTTTGTTGTTGTTGAGTCTCATCAGCTCTTTGCAGATTTTTGTGATCAGTCCTTTGTCATTAGTGTTGGGTGCGGATGGTCTCACTCATAGCAGGAATCTAGAAAACTTAAATAAGGGACCAGGAAAAAGAATAACTATAAGAAAGTGAAAATCAAAATCAACAAAAAACTATGAACCAGAGACACTTTTTGGGGGGTGGGGGCCGGGAGGGGAGGGATTGGGGTCAGAATGGGGCATGTGCGGTTGTATGGGGGAATATAAAAATAAAATTTATTATTTAATAAAAATAAATAAATAAATAGATTGAGTTGCTCTTGGTCCTAAAAATACAAGTTTTGTTCTTTGGGAGATGCCTATTTTAAAATCCCACAAAGTTTTGTCAAGAACTATGAGGAGTCTGAGACTTAACTATTTTCAGATTAACAAAGGAACTCTCCAGCTCTGTAGATGTCAGAGAAGTCACAGGGTCAGAGACAAAAGGTTTGATAACTGGGGGCACACCAGGAAGCCTGAGCTCCTTGTTTTCATTGTTTCCCCTTTAACACCCAAGTTCCACAAAGTAATGGGAGGGACCCACTGGAGGCTGTGCCCACAAAGGGTTTGCATCACAGGTGAGGGTACCCAGCTTCAGAAATCCCTAGTCTTTTGAAGAGGTGGCTTGCAGAACTGCCCATCCTCTGCCCAAGACATGACAAATGTTCCCTGGGTCGCTGAGGGAGACCTTATCTCTGTGTCCCAAGGGTGATTACTATACAGCTCTCCTTGGAAAGAGAGTGTGTAATAAAAGCTGATGCAAGATTTGCAAACGCACTAGGAAAAATTCTCTCCTCAACATGATGGACTTCTTTCCTTTGCCCATTCTCAAGCTGGGCCTGAGGCTGGGATAAGATTAAATAATGAAATACTGTTAGACTACTAATATTTTATTTTATTTTATTTTATTTAAAGATTATTTATTTATTTACACAAGTATTGGGTACAGTCAGAAGTGTGGGAGGGTGAGAGAATTCACCAGAGCCAGAGCGGGGAACAGAACAGGCAGACTGATGAAATACACTGCTGAGGGAAACAGTGGGTGCGGCAGGAGAGGTCTGCGGCGCCATGTGGGACCCTCACCGATAACCGGGGATCAAACCAGCGCTGCAGAGGCTGCGGGCAGCTTTGCCGCCCAGCGCTCAACCGCTGCACCACCAGTGGAGGCCCTAACTACTAATATTTAAATATGTTTGAAAAGATGGGACTTCTATAGCAGTGACAATGAAGACCTTTTCAGAGTCTTTTCTAAAAGTACAGCAGTTCTTCTAGGAGAGTAAGCTCTAGAATGCACTGTCCATCACTGGGGCAGCTGACTTGTGGGTGCTGAGCATTTGAAATGTGACTGGACTGAAGTGAAATATACTGTAAGTGTAAAGTAGACAACAGATTTTGAAGATTTAGTACTAAAATAAGAACAGAAATGGCCTTACTAACATCTTGTGAATTTGATTACATGTTGAAATAATAATATTTTGGATGTCAGAGGTTAAATAAATTATATCGTTAATTTTACCTGCTTTGTAAATTATTTATGTGGTTAGAAATTCTAAATGATTTGTGGTTAGAAACTCTAGATGTACATATGTGGGTCACATTATCCAGTGCTGCACTAGAGCCAGGCTGTATAAAGTTTAAATCTGGGCCCTGCCTCTTTTCCATGTGTGACCTTGAGATAATTACTTAATAACTCTCTACCTCTGTTTCACCCTCTCAAATGTGTTTTATTCTTTTTATTTTAATTTTGGGCTTACATTTTTATTCTTCCATATGTGCACATGTTGCATTTATTCGCCACCAAGGCACCTGTGCCAGAAGCTCATCTGCCTCCCTTGCCTCTTGTTTCTTCCCTCCCGCCTGATTTCTCTCTGGTAACTATTAACATTTCAACTAAGTCCAACATTTATTCCTGCACTATTTTGCCTGTGTTTTTTTTTTTTTTTTGGTTGTTATTTATATTCCACAGATGAGTGAAATCATCCAATATCTATTTTTCACTTTCTCACTTATTTAATACAATCTCCTTCATTTCCACCCATTCTGTCCCCAAAACCACTATTCCATCCTATTTCACAGCTGTGTAGTATTCCATTGAGTATATATACCAGAGTTTCTTTATCCATTCATCTGGTGGTTCAATGATTTGGCAGTAGTGGAAAATTGTATAAATATGGGCCTATATGTGGTTTTTTACATTAGAGTTTTCATATTTGTAGGATAAATACCTAATAGAGGTATTATTGAAGCATACCAAATTTCCATAAAAATGTGGTTATTAATGATATCTAAAACATAAAGTTATTGTGAGGATTAATGGAATTAAGGCATGGAAAACATGTAGAAAATTACCACTGTTAGAGTTAATCCATTAACTATTGAGATTATTACTGTACCAGAGGAGTTCAGAATTTATGACTAGTTTTGTTCTTTCTACCTGGTATTGTGTAATTTAAGCAGACGGTGTCATAATTTTGGAAACTAGGTTATAAATAGCTGTATTAAAGCATTTTTCTCAGAGAAAAAAAATTGCTGTGGTAAAGATAACGATTAAAGTGTAAGCAGCTGCTTTAGTAGTTGAAAAAAAATCTTTATATACAAAAATGTCTGGTGTACTAAGTGCTGACAAAATGAATAGGTCACTTCAAAGATGTGTGTATATATATATATATATATATATATATATATATATATATAGTTATTGAACACTCTATTTTTATTATTCATGATCACATACTTCCAGCCTTACATTTGGCTGATTTGAACATTATTTCCACAGTAAGACTATATAAATTTATAATTTCAAAACTTAATTTGTTTCAAATAAGTTGATTTTCCCATTAAATTGTATTTTTAGAAAATAATGGTATGAGAATTTGTGTTTAAAAAATTGAGAGGTGGGCCTCCCTGGTGGCGCAGCGGGTTGAGTGCAGCACTGTGAAGCTGTCCAAAGCCTCTGCAGCACGGGTTCGATTCCTGGCCGGCCAGGGAGATTCCCACATGGTGTGGCAGACCTCTCCTGCCTTGCTCGCTGCTCCCCTCAGCAGTGCTTTCGGTTATCTGCCTGTTCTGCTCCCCACTCTGTCTCTGGTGAATCCTCTCACCCTCCCTTGCCTCTGGCCTATACCCTAGCTGTTGTGTGAAAAAATAAATCTTAAAAAAAAAATTGAGAGGCATTCAGTCATATTGATGGCTATTGCTTGTTATTTAGTGGTCGGTATTGGAAGATCAATAATGCTGAAAATAGTGTGTGCCATTTATTAAAATGTGTTATCTACTTAGTCTTTTATTTATATATATATTATATATATTATAGTTTTAATGACTTTCAAAAAAACCTATGAACCATTTTTACAGATAAAGACAGATTCATGTTAAATAGTTTCCCAAATGTCACAGAGAGACAGAAGAGTGCTTAGGATTTTTGGCTGCTTGGTTACTCCTGCTCAACACTGGCATGTACATATCCCTCTCCATGTTCAGATTATTAATTTGTTCATGTAATAAACAGCTGAGGAAAAAACTCCTAACCTCTCTTACCTTCTGTTTGCTTTTCTATAATATGTGTAAACATTATTAAATTAATTCATTCATTTACCTAAAATTGGATGTGTATGAAAGATACTATACTAGGAATAGGGTAATTTAGCATATAGATTAAAACCAGTTCTACGAGAAGAGTATTGCAAAAGTTCAGGGGAACCATGTGGAGAGCTAGGTGATCAATGAAGAACAGGAAGCACTTACGCTGAACCTCAAACAGTGGGTGGGATCTCAATAGGCAGTGATGGAAAAAGGCCTTCTGGCAGCCGCACAACCCAGCAAAGGCCAGAGGACACAGCATGCTGAACTCTTCTGAATTAGGAGATTATTGCAACAGCTGCCTCAGGGCCAGATTTATGGAGGCTGTTGAGAAGGTATTTGTAAATTTAAGAAATCTCCCATGTCTGATAATCTTTTTTATTCTAAATAGTTATTGAACTCCCACAGCATAGGATGCCCTGAGCATTCTGTTCTGGTACTTAGAGGTGGCCCTGCCTTCTCTTCCCACAGTTTTACATTCATTACTTAGATGTGTGGATCCAGGCAGAACATAAATACAAAGGTAGACTGTATTAGTTTCCTGAGTTGTTGAAATTAATTATCCCAAACTTGAGGGCTTACAGCAAGAGAAGTTTATTCTCTCACAGCTCTGGAGGCCAGAAGTCTGGAATCCACACTCCCTCTAGGGACCCCAGGGGAGAATCTGTTTCCTGACTCCACATCCGTGCTAGTGCTTGATGGGATTCTTTAACTTGTGGCACCTCACTGCCGTCTCTGCCTCCAAGTTCACATTGCTTTCCCTTGTCTGTTTCATTTTCCTTTTCTGTCTGTGAACTCTCCCCCAGCCTCTCCCTCACAAGGACAGGTGTGATGGTGCCAGATAAAACAGATATATCTTCACTGCAGAATTCTCAGTTATATCTGTAAAGACCCGTTTTTTTTTCCCCCAAATGTGGGAATGTTTACAAGTTCAGGGGATTAGAACTTGGTATTTTGGGGTGGCCGTTATTCAGTCTGCCATATACCTATCACTGAAATCACATGAAATGATTTGAGCATTTTACCTGTCTTACTATTGAGCAGTAATCACTGGGGAGTATATATAGTGACTGTAAAACTACCGCTGGCTTAGAGCAGTCGTGCTGTCTGTCCATTGACTCAAGCATGGTAGAGCTAACTAGGCTCCTTGCTGGGGAGCAAGGTAAACAACCACCTCCATGACAGCAAGGCGGGGAGACCTTGCTTGGAACAAGTACAGGGGCAATGAGAGCAAATAAAAGGGTACCTAGCCCAGCTGTTGTTGAACCCCACCACTTATAAGAGGTGAGATCGAGCCCTGGTCCTGAGAAAGAATTAGGAATACACACAGGGAGGGGAAAGTTCCAGAGAAAACTCCCCATGTACGTGCATTGTCTTGGGTAAGAGAGTGACAGTAGGGTTAGAGCAAAGTGAAGGATAGATTCCGAGGCTGTTGAGAAAGTGGACCTGGCAGGGATTTGTGACTGGTGCTAGAGGATGAGGGAAGAAGTCTTATGCTGGGGTTCCCATCTGCCTTGGACAGCCAGATTCTAAACAGATGACACAGGAGAAAAGGACTGTCCTGTGGAGCTGGGAAGCGTGAAGACAAAATGATTGGTCTAGTTTGGTAGAATTATTTATTCCCCTAATCCATTTCTCTCTTGCTTTGTCTCTCTTTTTATATGTTAAACCCACCATGGCCAAAGACAAGGTAGTATCCTTTGCCAAGTTAGCAGTTTTCTTTGTCATTAACTCTCACAAGAACCATGGAACACTGCCATGGAACGATTCACATGTAAATTATTTGGAGTTAGAACCGTGAATCACTTAACATAAATAATAGAAGATGATTGAATAGTGTAAATTCAGTATGGTTCAAGGCAAAAGTGATGTTCATCTTGTATGGAGAAACGTTTTCCTGGAAGATGTAATCTACAGAATATTTTTACATATTAAAAGCAGACTGCATATGGGTTGTGTAAGAAATGGGATGATAATTTGCAAAGATGTTCATGCACTACCTTTGGTTTGCTTCTGATGAGATTAGCTTTTAAATGGACTGTTCCTTCACAGACAATTTTATAGACATAGTCAGAGATTGGGAAACAAAGACTAACAGCTTCCATATCCCAACAAAACATTCACCATGTGCTTGGAATACTAGTTGTTGTCAAGTAGAATAGACCGAGATAATAAATGATGGTGGAGAAAAGGTTGCTGTGGTACCCGGATGTCTGAAACGCCACACTGCCCGTGGCCCAGCTATACCCCAGAGCACTTGCTGTTGTGCTTTTATTGAAAAAATTAGCCTTTGGGATGTGTAGTCTACTTAGGTGGTGGGCATCATATTTCACCTTCAGTATGAGAGCGTTCTTGGGGTACTACTGACAGGGAGATTATTTTACATATGTCACTCATTTAGCCTCAGGAACAGAATAGAGGCAGACTTAAAGACTCTTCCTCTGTGCAAGAAAAGGGGGGTAGGGAGAACTGAAGTGATAGATATTTAAAATAACATGAGGCGTTTACTCCCTTGTCATCTTTGCTTCACACAGAGTAAAGCAGTCGTGTTCTTGCTTTTGCAGATTCCCCAAAGCACGTCAAACTCTGTTTATTAGTGTGATTAAGGAGATGCTCAGCACAGATGATCCAAGGGCTAGCCTACAAACCTCAGGGTTTGCTGAGTCTTTCCTCTGGCTGTCACCACAAGGGGTTGACCGTGACGCTGCTTCCCTTGGGAGGGTTTCTGTCTACACCTTTGTGCTGCAGCTGCTTGCCTTGGACATAGGGATGGACAGTGGGCAGAGGCTCGGGCCCAGGCCTCCCAGTGGTGGTTTGTTAGGGTTTGAGAACCTCTGTTTTTACAGGAGATTTGGAAACATTGTTGAGCCCCTATGCCAGTCAGAGACTACCAGCCCTCATTAAGGGGTGTAGCTTGTCCCCCCCTGCACAAAGCCTGGTGTGATTCTACCTTGACCCCAACTCACTGTGACGTTGTTTCTAGTGCCAGTCTTTTCAAGGAATTAAATATTACCAGCTCTGCAGCTGTTGTTTCGCATTGAAATTCTAACGTCTCCTGAAGTATTCCTCTTTGAAAGGTGATGTGGCCTTGGGGGTTAGAAACCTGGGTTTTCATTCTACCTCCAAGGGCTACCCCAGGGTGAAGTGGTAAGATGTTCCACGAGTACCTTTCACAGAGGCTGACAGTGATCAGATTCAACAAATGTTGATCTTTCCTTTCCCCTGCTTATGCTTATTAGCATTTGCACTGTTGTCAAACAGTTGTTGTCAGCATTTTTTGACAACTTAAACAAACATAGGGCATTCAGCACCCATGAAACATGGCCTACCTGTGCGGGAGCTTGGGGCAGATATTCTCTGAATGTTATTTATTCATTTGCTGTAATTCATACTTCAGCTCTGGTCCAAACGTATCTCAAATGGTTTAAAGTGAAACTACATGTCTGCACAGATACTTGAAGCTAGGAAAGGAGCCACATTCAGTGACCTGATCCAGAGATAATCATCTTATTAGTGCAGAGAACACTGAATTAGTGAAGGCAAAGGGGCAATATGAAGGGTGCATTTCATGTGTCTGCATATGGAGATACATATATGTGCATGTAGGTAACAGTGATGGCCTTTGCATGTTAAGTTTAGATTAAAGCTATATTTGTAAACCTAGAGTGTGTAAGACAGCAATTAAAAAATTTTACTGAGCTTTCCCTAAATTAAAAATAACTCACTATTTTAGTTAATGAGGATCAACCAGTATGACATTATTGAGAGAGGTTTTCATACTCATCATAAAATCAAGGAATAGTTGCTCAAGGTTCTTGGTGGATGTGCTGAGACTAATCCCTAAGTGCTGTGAGTAAACATTTTGCCACATGTTGATGCTAATTGATTGACTCACTAGACCTACTTCAGAGATGTGGTTAGAGTGAAATGAGAAAGGTGGTCACCGTGGTTCTGTGTGTTTCCTGACTTCGGAATGAATGCAAGATGTTCAGGAACATCCATTTGGTGATTGACATTGCACCTGATCATAGTAGAAAGTCTATTTTTTATGAATTTCAACGTGAAATTCTAATTATGCTGACAACGGCGTAAAAACTAAAACAAACGAAAAAACACAAAGTTGTGTGCCATGAGCATGCCTACTATGCCCAGTCTTTGTTTCTGAGTGGTGACTGTAGAATTACACAGACTGGTGCTGTGCACCCCAGTGTTGGCTGCCTCACAGCCTCTTAACAATGTTGCAAGTGAGGAAAGGATGAGAAGCAGTCTGTTCTGTGAGCCAGGGCGGCGCCACTGGGCCCTTCCAGGGAGGTTTTGAGGGATGTTTCTTTTTGTTAGAGATGGTGAGATGTCACACTGACGCATCCTGTCCCCATGGAGACAGAGACCAGCTCAGCCAGGACTTGGCTTGTCTCTGTGCCAAGAGAGATGCTTTCTCTGGCATCAATTAAACTATGTCCTGTAGGACATAGGGAGGGAGCAGAGGATGCAACAGTGTCTGACCCACTGACCCACCTCTCTCAACCCTTCAATGGACAGGAGCACTTGATTGAGAATGAAGTGTCAATACTGCGTCGTGTGAAGCACCCGAATATCATCATGCTGGTCGAAGAGATGGAGACCACCACGGAGCTCTTCCTGGTGATGGAGTTGGTCAAGGTAAGAGGCTTTCACTGATGCCAAACCCCAAAAGTTACTATAGTCTTGAAGGATCAAAAAGGGTTTTGATACTTTGAAACTTTCACTATTCAGAATCATCAACCTTAATGGCATTTTTTCATTTACTCCAGGCTGATGAGCCACCTTGGTCGCCTTCACAGGATTGTCACTGTTGATGTTTTGATAGGTTCCTTTATGTGTCCTTTAGGGTGGAGATCTCTTTGATGCAATTACCTCTTCAACCAAGTACACCGAGAGGGACGGCAGTGCCATGGTGTACAACCTGGCCAATGCCCTCAGATATCTCCATGGCCTCAGCATTGTGCACAGAGATATCAAGCCCGAGAACCTCTTGGTATGTACATCATGTCTGCCTTTCCTATTCTAATGAATGCTTCTCTTCTTAAGTTGACTGTGACCTCATGCAGCCACCACATGCAAACTGTGATTTAAATTCTGCATCAATTCTGCAGTAAGGGGCTGAGAAAATGTCAACTTAGAAAATCACCAATAATGTAACCAAACATTAATGGACTTCTAGAATTGAACTACATTCCTGTGTTTATTTTTAGCAGACATAAAAGAACATATTTCCATTTATGTTTTGATTGATGATACTGATTTTTAAAAGGTGAGCAAGAAAATTAGGAGGCAAAAAATTTCAAAGAATTGGAGATAGCATTAGAGGCTCATAGGAGACAGAAATAGAACATTGAGGGTTCAGTACATACATGAGTTAATTTTAGAAGTAATCTAGTCCATCCTGGCCTAACAGATAAGGAAATAGAGGCTGAGGGAGGGCTTTTTTTTTTTTTTTTTTTTTTTGGCTTGAAAGTTTCATTTGTTGCACTGTCCTATAGAAGTTTTATTCCACTATTGCATTCAGAGAACCTCATAGCTGCTTCCAGTTTACCTTTCCAGCTTCCTCTCCTGTTCCTTCCTCTCTACACTTGTGCCCAGTATGGCACTCACCTTCAACTCTCAGTTCACACACCTTTATCTGCCAATAAAAATCAAACTTGACCATTTGGTGGTTCTGCATTTCGTTAGCAGGTTGGCATTGGCCTCGGATGGGGAAGTACCACTGAAATGTCAAAAGTAGATACACAGAGTGTCTGCCAGCCTTTCTGCCCTAAAAACAAATTCAGTTTTTAACACCAGAGCATTCAGACTTCTGATTTGCATCCCCTCCCCTAGTGGCAGTGTCATAATTTAAAACCCTGCCAAGGAGATTTATGGGTCGCTGTGTCAGGGAGCACGGGGGTGGCCGTTAATGCTGTGAGTTACAGCCTGGCCGTGCCCTGTCAGAGTTAACTAGAAGAGACCAGCGATAAATCCCGCTTTTCCAGGAGTTGTGGGGAGAGGAGAGGTTGGTTTTTCATACTTGAAGTGGTTCTAAATCATGATGTTGACATTTTATTTAGAGAACATGCAGCATTCCCTTTGTAGGGGGGATCTGCATTCCTCACATTTTTATTTTGTATTCTGAGAGCAACTTTTGACAGAAGCATCCCTCAGAGTGAGGTGGGGCCTCTGAGCTCTGCAGAATGGGGCTTCTCACAGTTGCAAAGGTTTGAATCTGCTCAGGATCTGCACACGGCTGCCGTCAGGACGTGCATTGTCCTGGAGGGTCCTCTGGGAGTCACGGGCTGGGTTGGAATCCCCACGGGCCACTGCTAGTAACATGAGCGCTCTGTGCCTCAGTTTACCCATCTGTAAAATGGAGAGAACAGTTCTCCCCCAAAATGCCCAGTGGGGTGATGGACTATATCAGCCCAATGAGATAATGTTCGGGAGAATATTGAATTGTACAGCATCGTGTGAGGTTGTCGGTTGCTGGGAGACCTGGACTTTCATCCATAACAGAAGGTCTTTTCTTTGGGGGCTCTGGGTGTTCATTCTTTCTTAAGTCAGCCTCTTGGAGCAATGCTGCACATGGGCGCACACGCGTATGCGTGTGTGTGTGTGTGTGTTAAAGCAACATCATAATTGTGTGTATATATGTAAATACATTTATAGACTTTTTATCCAGTTTTGAAGAAAATCTCCAGCTAGGATTTGAAATTTACTTATGCTTTCTTTCACATATTAACCTCTGTGTCTAGTATTGGGCAAAGATCAGTCTGATGAAATACTATTTCAGGCTTCTCTGCCCCTTGTGACACTTTCCTTTTGATGTTGAGCTAAGGAGTAGCTGCACATAATTCAGTGGTTATGGAGTGTGTGTCCCTCTCTCTTAATGCTCCTGCATCTGAGTTTGAATTCCATATTGAGGATGTGAAAAACAGGACTTCTGGGACTTGAGAGTATCTGACAACAATCCTTACGTGCCCCTAGGCATTTCTGAATTGAATGTCTAAAATAAACACTATTTTTCAAATAATGCACTTAATGAGTGTATTTTAGAGCTGTAAAAACAAAATAACAATGACATTAATAAAACTTTTCTTTCATGATGGAGACACTCAGAATTACAGTGCTGCTTATAATGTTCTTATCACTGTAATTACTTAGGGAATTTCTTTCTAAAGTCTGGGTTTTGGTAAATGCATAATAAATTGTCACTGTAATTCAGATTGTTAATATTTACATTAAACATAATGGATGGAAAGTTATCCTGAGGCAGAGGCATGACTAAGAACCTGGTTTCTATTGCTTTAGGCTAAGTCATTAGTAGCTTTGGATATATTTCTGCCAAGCTGTGGGCTGACTGAGAATAATAAATATCTGTGAGGAGCTCCAATCCTCACTGTTGTCCCATGAAGCCTTCAAGTTATAAAGATGGTTGCTGGGTCTGCGTATATGGTACATAAACATGACACAGGTGTTAAAATGCCAAGGTGCAAAACCTTCTTGCATGAGAGGTTAGGAAGTTATTTCAGTGGCATCTTACTGAAAATGCCTATGAAGATTGGGATACATTGGCATGGGGGAACCCTGATGATGTTGATATTTTTCACTGATGACTATATAAATCACACCCCCTCGTTAAGTAGCAGACTAATGGATTATGTTGTTAACAATGCTTATCTTGAAGAAACACACTTTTGTGAATTTTTCTTTTGGTAAGTGGTGGTTTGGTTAGGTACATGGTCAAATATGAGGAAATGCTAATGAAGTGTGCTTGAAGCATAACATATAGAAAGATATTACATGAGTACAGGTTACTAGGTCTCTGCAGTTATTCCCTGAATTTAGTGTTTTTAAAATGGACATTTGAGAAACAATAGACAAGTGAGGTGAAGATTACAGTCAAAATCTAAACTGTGCTCATGTACACACTTGCTTGTTTCCAACACCTGTGAGGCCCATTTAACTTTTTTTTAAATTTATTTATTTGTTCATTCATTCATTCATTCATTGAAGCACTGGGTACAGTCAGAAGCGCAGAAGGGTGAGAGAATTCACCAGAGCCAGAGCGGGGAGCAGAGCAGGCAGAAGGACCGAAGTACACTGCTGAGGGGAGCAGCGGGCGGCAGGAGAGGTCTGCGCGCCATGTGGGACCCTCCTCCGGTGGCCGGGGAGCAGCCGGGGATCGAACTGGCGCTGCAGAGGCTGCGGGCAGCTTCACAACCCAGCGCTCAACCGTTGCGCCACCGGGGAGGCCCTGCGGTCCATTTAACTTTGACTTTTATCCACTAAGGAAAATGTTCTTATATGGAAAATTAAGGGTTTTTTTTCTAATTATGGAACCAATACATGTTTATTTTAAACATTTTAGAAACTACTGAAATCTATAAAGAAGAAAGTTAAAGGAACCTTAAATGCTCTCACCTAGAGATAAACAACATTTTGGTGTATTATAATACATACAATGTTGAACATTCCTATTTATGTAATAGATCAAATATTTCCCATATCTATTTGAAAAGTGCTTGTGAGTGGCTTATACTATTTTTATCATAGAGCTGGACCGTGATTTAAGTCATTACCTTGTTGCCAATTAATGTTTCTTCCAGTTTTTAAAAACAGGTAAACTCTGAGATTGGAACCTTTGTGTATAACCTTTTGCTCCCTCTCTGTTTCCTTAGGGTAGGTTCTGACAGGCGTATTTGCTAGGTCATAGGTTACAAATGATATTAAGAATACTTATATCTTGCTGAAATGCTTTTTAGAAAGATTGCTGCAAGGGAAGCAAAAAGATTCATGTTTCCACCAACATTGTTAAACCTGTGTTGAAGATCGCCTCTAAAGGCCGGTCTTTCCAAGAAAGGGAGGGGTCATTCATGAAACCCTGTGCCGGCCTCCTGTCACTGCAAACCCACACCACCCCTGTGACACATGTTCAGAGGGTGATTTCCAAGGTCAAATAACGAGAAACTGAGTGGAGTGGTTGATTATTCAAGGCCAGATAATTGATCCCAAAGTTTATTTTCTTCCTAAATTTCCTTGATTTTTCCTCCATTATATTTATCTCTGACTATCTAGAGAAAAACAACTAATTTTATTTTATAAACTAAGCTTGCCCAGGAGAATACCCAGTGCTACAGTGGACACTTAGTAAACACCATTTCAGAGGCTCTCAAGTACCTCACACATAGTAGGCTCACAGCAAAGATCAGTGTCCCACCTCCAGGCTCAGAGGCATCTCTCAAGCCTCATCAGGTAAGTACCACCTGTACCCGTAACTGCCGTGTAAGCATGTGCACATGTTTATTCTGCTCCCAAGTAAGGATCTTGCTGCAAAGGGGGTTGGTTATAGGGGAAGGGAGAGGAGGGATTATTGTCTTTTCAAATTTCTAACAATCATGTGAAAAGATTTCTTTTGAGTTTATTGGTAAATGTAGTTCTGTTGTTTTTACCTAATTCCAGGGTTCCTCTTGGAATCACTTAGAGAAAAAAAGAAATCAACCCATTCCTGATTGTGTTCTGGTTTCTGTTCCAGGTGTGTGAATATCCTGATGGAACCAAGTCTTTGAAGCTGGGAGACTTTGGACTGGCTACCGTGGTGGAAGGCCCTTTGTACACGGTCTGTGGCACCCCGACTTACGTGGCCCCGGAAATCATTGCTGAAACTGGGTAATTTGGCTTTGGTGGGAAAAGGTATTTTTGTTTCTCCTGCTGCTGTATAGTCAGTCTTCTCTGCAGGTGGAAGGCAGGAGAGACTCTTACCTAATCAGTGACTTTAATCTCAGGAACTTGAGTTTGTCCCAGAGCCCCAGACCTGGGCTTTTGCCCCAAGACCAGTCTTGGGACTGTGGACTGTATTCCCCAAGACTGTGTTTAGGTTGGAAGAGAAGCCACTGCCTTTGTCCAAGGGGTAATTAATTCCTTTTTGTGAAAGGGGCAGTGTGACACCAGGGGACCCTTTTCCTCACAAGGTATACATACTGCAGTCAGGTGCATGGTCCCTGTGAGTGCAGCAACGTGTCTCTCCCTCCCACCCCCTTTGCTTTCCCAGCTATGGCCTGAAGGTGGACATTTGGGCAGCAGGTGTGATCACGTACATACTGCTCTGTGGATTCCCACCATTCAGAAGGTGAGTGACTCTGAGGTGACAGCATTTGAATTGTAAATTCTCTCCCTTTCACTCCCATATCACTCCTGGCAATTAGAACCAGAGACTGGCCAATGTTCCCTTTTTCAAGAAGATTTAAAGATCCTTGTGAAGCTATCAAAATCTTGTAGGTAAATCATTTCTCAATTCTTAACAGTTGTTTTTGCTACTAAATTGACAGCAGTTATTTTTTTTTAACAACTCCCCTGCCAAAGGATACAAGTTAGTTTACATAGAAACAGGGAACACTTTCCTTTTAAATATATTTTATCCATTCACATGACATTTAATTAAGTAGAACTTTTGGCATCAACAGACCTGGCAACAACAGATTGGCTCTTGGTATCATGTACATATCTCACATGGTGGGAGCAGAGGAGACCACACAGAGGGTTGGGTGTGACCAGGACACAGTGCACAGTCGTTGCCCCGTGGTTTGTGTCCAGGGTGAGTGTGGAACTTAACCACAACATCCTTCATTTTTTGCCCCAAAGGGATGGCTCCTTTTTTTATTGACAAAATACTGTTTTATGGCATTATTTAGGTTTCAGGTGAGGTCTTTTAAATCAACACCTGTGCATACGTATTACCTTATGTTTGCCCCAGAATTCTAGTTTCCATCCATCACATACAGCTGACCCCTTTATCTGATTTATCCACCCCCTTCCCTTCTGTTAACCACTGTTTTTTTCTTATAGTCTAAGTTTGTTTTATTTGATTCATTGTTTTGTTGCTTTATGTACCACCTATGAGTGAAATCATAGTATTTTTGTTCCGCTGTATGACTTATTTCACCAAGCATAATTCCCTGCAGTTCCATCCATGTTGCTAAAATAGCAGGATGTCATCTTTTTTAATAGTTGAGTAGTAGCTCATTGTGTAGATATATAACACATCTCTATCCACCCATCTTTTGATGGGCACTTAAGTTGTTTCCGGCTTCTTGACTGCAGTGAATAATGAATGCTGCACTGAACATGGAGGTGCAGAGATCTCCCTTCACATTAGTGTCTTCCTATTTTTTGGATTGATACCCACAAGTAGAACAGCACAGCATCTGTCTTGATCAATTCCATCTCCCTCTTTGGAGCAAATGAATAGCTTTGTAGCAGTTCATCTAATGGTATATGTTTGATTTTCTTCTGAGTTTTCTTGAGCTCTGTTTTCATTTTAAAATGTTCTTTTGTTCATTGTATAACTATTTGTGGAATAACTTACTATGTGCTAGGCTCTTGCCAAGAATCAAGTGGCAAACAACCATCCCCTAAGGTCATAGTGTTTATATTGTAGTAATAGGAGAGTTAGTGAAAAATTGGTTTATTCCCCTCCTACCCAATATTTTATTATGAAAGATTTCAAACATACAGAAGTTAAAAGATTGTCTTTTAACCTGATCAGCTGTCAAATGAGTTGAATAGTTAACTTTACTGCCATTAAAGTAGACAAAAGAATGACACAAAGGTGTGAGTCTTTACTGAAATATCCGTGAGAATATTGGTCAAGAAGAATAAACTGAGTGTGCCAGCATGCACAATAAATGACTGGAAATCACAAAAGGTTGAATGAGTGATATGGCATTTGAGCAGAACCTTGTCCCATGGCTTGTTCGGGTTTCTATAGATGGAAAGCTCCTTCTGCCTGGCTGTCAGTCACATCATGGTTTTCCAGCTAGGTCTCTGCTCAGGTGGATTATACTGATGTAGGATTACTGCACATATTGGTTAGCTTTTGCTGAATAACGAACTGTCCAAAAAGTTAGGGGTGTCAGCCACTCTGTGGATCAAGTGAGTGGTCCTTCGGATTTGAACTGATTAGTAGGGACTTGATAGTCCAGTATGGCCCATTCACATGCCTGATTGTTGGCACAGTGTCAGCTGGGACATTGGACAAAGACTTGGTCATGTGCCTTCCCCCACCCAGTGCGGTAGCCTGGGTTTCACGTGATGGTGGATATAGGATTCCCAAAAGCAACTGGAGAGGTGTGTCCCACTCCTCAAGCATGCCCCAAGTCTCTGCTTACTTCATATTTGTTGACGTCCCATTGACCAAGTGAAGTCAAATGGCTAAGCCTAGAGTAAATGTGGCAGAAGATTGTGTACACACCAGAGGGCATAATTTGTTGTTATTTTTACAACCACGGTGTCTCCTCCTAGAATCAGTAATTACCTGTTTTGGGAACTAGTCAGGTGTTTTGGTAGCAGGTGATTCTGAAGCCAGTTAAGGCAGAGTTCCCCTCCTTGGTTAACCCAAGTAGAGATCAGTTGGAAAAGGGTATCAGGTATCAGTTTTCGAGGAATGTGTGCTCACAACTCCCTCTAGTGTTTCCAGTTGCCAGTGCAGCCTGGGAGTTTTTAATTTGACAGCTTTTTAGCAAAAGGGAGACCATTTTTGTATTTATCGTGCCTTGCTACTCAATAGATAGCAGTTTAAAAGTCTGGCTAATCAAAAGCAGTAAAAACACATTCTTAGTACCAGTGCCCGTATATGTAATAAGCTTTTATTCAGAAGCTTGCCCTGCAACTCCAGCTGGCTTATTTGTGAAATCTACAAAACTGTTTTTCCTCTTTTATGTCATATTGTTGATGGAAAATAATCTATAGTGTTAAGTACTAGTTACAGAAGCATCTTCATGGCATATAAGAATCTTCTGAATAGATTTTACAACATACTATATGTATGTGTATGTAATTATGGAAATGAGACTTTAGTGATAAAAATTATGGTATATATTATGTACATAAATATGCATGTAAAAATGCATGTAAAATAAGCAGTTCAAAACTTGTTCATACAAAAGATGAGTTTAACCCCAAAGTTTTTAAAGTTGTTACCTGGAATTTGTAATTGCAACTCCTTTAACTGTAACATCACTCATTCTTTATTCTTTCTTTCTTTTTAGTCTTAGCTTGTTATGTATTCTCACTCCCATCTTTTCAACATCAGAGTCATTGTTACTAAGAAGAATATTGGTTTTCAGAGCATTTAAGATTTTAAGTATTCCATAAGCAACTCTGTCTTTAGGACCACTGACAAAAAGTTGTCTGTCCATGGCTACACTGAGGTGGTTTTGCTGTTTCTCTGAAACCCACACACCCCATCGTAGCATGTTTTGTTTGTGAAATACCATGCAACATTTTCAGGCTACCTTGTCTGGCCCCTAATGATTTGACATTGAAAAGAGGGAGTGTAAATTCTTTCCAGATTTTTCTCAATGTCCATTGAGAAATGTCCACTGGATAGTTCGATCCAAAGGCTATCTTGTTTTAGGATTTAAAAAGGCCCTGAAGCATCTCAGCCAGATTGTAGCATATAAAAGTGTTAATGAATCCAGTGTGGATTTCATCTCAGTGGCTTTTATTATGTGACTGCTAAGAAGGACAAATGAGCCCTAGCTTGTGTTCACTGCAGGCAGCCCAGAGCCCCCAGAGCTCCAGCAGGCGCGGCAGGACCCCATGGGAGCCTCCTGATGGCTGAGACCTCCCAGGGTTCTGCTTGTTAAATGATGCTATAGACCCACTTCCAACTTTTTAGTTGTTTGCTAACAAAATGACATCAGAAAGCCACATATATTAACAAAATATAAGCTATTTGAGATTTCAGGAAAAAGAAAGAAAAGGATGTGAATGGGGTGATAGAGAGGGTTGGCTAAAAGGAAAGCTTCTGGAAATAGGTGATTTTTCTATCTTCTAACATTGTCTCCTGGGAGCTTCTGGTTTTCTAATGGTTTCTGTAAAATCCTACTGGGTTCTTACACGTGTTCTTCACTCATTTTGAGGGCAAATTGAGCCGATTTTGGTCTGTAGAGAAATTACAATGGATAGGAAAGAAGACACGTAGACACCTAGAAAGAAATAGGTCATGTACAAAGAAAATCACTTGCAGGAGAGAAGTGATGGCCTCTTGCCCTGCCCAATTATTTTTTTTAAAGATTTATTTATTTATGCATAAAAGAACTGGGGTACAGGCCAGAGGTGTGGTGGGGGGGTGAGGGAGTTCACCAGAGTGGGGAACAGAACAGGCAAATCGACTGAAATACACTGCTGAGCGGAGCAGAGGGCGAGACAGGAGAAGTCTGCTGCGCCATGTGGGTAGCTCCCTGGCAGGGGATCAAACTCATGCTGCAGAGGCTGCGGACAGCTTCTTAGGTTGCATCTTAACCCCTTGCACCACCAGGGAGGCCCCTTGCCCAGTTATTGGTTAGACTTTTGCTCCTCAGTTGCCTTCTTAACTCAGCTAGATGAAATGGACATTCAGAAAGCTCACAGATCAGGAATGAGGCAGCCCCATCATCATACATTTCCAGAATCTGTCTTCAGATGTGGCCCTAAACCATTTAGGCGGTTCTCAGAGGGCTGGCAGCATGACCCAGCCCCTGCCTTGCTGGCCAGGTGGGACCCCAAGTAAGCACCCCAAGCAGGAGGCTGGGGTCCCGTTGGGAGCTCCAAGAGAAATATTCATACTTGATAGATCAGGCTGAGCATCACTCTTGGATTTTGATTTTGACTCTAGCAGCCCATACTGAGTTTTCTACTAGGGCCTCATGATGGCCTGGAACTTTGTTCTCACTCCGACCATTGGTGCACCCACAAAGCAAGTGGGGCTCTGTGGCCGTTCCTGGGAATATGGGGATATCTGAATTTTCCCAGAGTTCTGTAACATTTCCATGGGCCCCTCCATCACAAGTCAAGTGATTCATTTATTCTCTAGGCACCCGTTGTGTGTGGGAGTGAGGGCCCCTTGGAGGGTGGGGCCATTAGGCGCAGTTGGAGAGTGGGGTTCTGGTGTGGGTTTGAGTCAACCTGTGCAATTCTCGTTGATGTTCTTGGATGGACTCTCTGACTGAGCGTAAATGAAAGTCAAGTTCCAATAAGGGCCTAATTATGTCATGAATGTTTTGTTCAGACTCTTCTAGATGCCTTATGACTTTTTCATATGTCAGCTGTTTCAGTGATCTTTGTTTTATTGGAAAAGTAGAAAGAGAACGAAGCAAGGAGATCTGACTTAGATTTGCTGCTTTTCCACTCGTGGTGCCATGAGTGATTAATCAAGAACAGATGCTCAGATTGCTTTTTTCTGAAATGAAGATTTACATTGTGGGTTCCATCTTTTCTGGAGTCGTCTTATTGCAAAATGTACATCACATAAAATCTATCCCTTTTCATCGTGTGGCTCAGTGGCATTAAGTTCATTCATATCATTGTGTCACCATCACCACCGTCCACCTCCAGAGCATCTCCATCTGCCCAAACTGAAACTCTACACCCACCAAACCAATTTCCCGAGTCTTCGTCTCCTCTCTCCTCCCGCACCCCCACCCCGATTCCCAGGCCTAAGCAAATACTCTTTAGCTCCTTGTCTGAAAGTAAGGCCTGTCACCAGAAATGCCATGAGATACACACCCGAGAGAGGAAGAGCCACGATGAAGAGACAGATTCTTCTTTCCACCCTTCCAGTAAGCCCTTTGTTGAAAACCTGTATGGGGACTTTAACTCTGCTATTCCTTTGTCACTGATTTAGTGAGAACAATCTCCAGGAAGATCTCTTCGACCAGATCTTGGCTGGGAAGCTGGAGTTTCCAGCCCCCTACTGGGATAACATCACAGATTCAGCAAAGGTACTCACGCGGACCTGTTCTGGGGGCTGCATTAGACCTGGGGTGCTCAGCCACCCTGTGGGGCTGTCAGAGATCTCAGTATTGTTCTTTGAATGGGAGGCCCTGTTAGTTATTTACTTGTTTGTCTATCTCTATCGATCTATTTGAGGTAGAACTGGCTTATGACACTGGGTAGGTTTCAGGGGCAACAGCTCTCAGATGTATGTTAATGTGTGTTTTTTAAAGTTCATTCCACGCTATAGTGTCTGAAACTCCTAACCAGAGTCTGAGAACTGGGCTCTCCTCCCAGTTTGTGCACCACCCTTTTCTCTCCCCTAAGCTTTAAATGTTCCTGCTTTTATTTATTCAAGAATGGTGTATTGGACGCCCATCAGAAAATGGGAGTAGACTTGTGGGACTTACTGAATTGCCAGAAGGAAGAATACTGCAGTTTACACTGTGGAATGATGATAATCACCAGAACTCTTAGGAGAGAACATCTTGGTTTAATGTAGATGCAGGAGAGGCCTCTTCTTTCCAAGCCGCTGACACAGCTGTGTCTGCATAATTGCCTGGTGGGCACCGGGAGTGTAGGTGATAATAGCTTTTCTGTTCAAATGACTGAGCAGCTGTGTTGGCTGTTCTTTGAAGTGCTTGGTGCAAACTCAGATTTCTGTGCTTGTGCTGGAATGACCCCTTTCTTCTCTATAGCCGTCTTTATTTCTTTCCAGGAATTAATCAGTCAGATGCTTCAGGTAAATGCTGAAGCCCGATGTACCGCAGGACAGATCCTGAGTCACCCTTGGGTGTCAGTAAGTACCCACATTCCAAGGGAACCAACTTCTGTCTCATCTGTGGCCAAAGGCGTGCAGAGGTCTGTGTTCCAGGGCTGTGGTAGATGCACTGGTGCCGCCACCTTTTTTTTTTTTTTTTTAAAGATTTATTTATTTATTTGTACAAGCACTGGGCACAGTCAGAAGCACGGGAGGGTGAAAGAATTCACCAGAGCCAGAGCGGGGAGCAGAGCAGGCAGAAGGACCGAAGTACACTGCTGAGGGGAGCAGCGGGCGGCAGGAGAGGTCTGCGCGCCATGTGGGACCCTCGCCCGGCAGCTGGGGAATAGAACCGGCGCTGCAGAGGCTGCGGGCAGCTTCACAGCCCAGCACTCAACTGCTGCTCCAACGGGGAGGCCCTGCACTGGTGCCTTCTTAAATGAGCACGTAGCGTGAAGATAGCTCTTTAGGAGACAGCATTTGGCACAGGACCCTGGGATATTTCACCCTGTCCTGTGAGTGTCCTGGGCGAGTCAGTGCCCCTTACTGGCCTTAGTTTCCTCACCTGCAGAGTGAAGGGACTGGCCAGGATGCTGTCTGTGGAGCCTCTGGCATTCCCCTTCTGTGAGTCTGTGGTGTGAGATTTTCAGGATTTGCCCCAAGGTGAACATGTTCCAGACCCTGGTTCCTGTATCTTCCTGGCACATGGTCCCAGGATCCCTCCTGCTGTGGGTGGAAAGGTGGAGACATCCCCCAGGAGCTGGTAGTGGTGTGAGATTCTGGCCTGAGTTCCCCTCTGGACTCGAGGTGCTTCTGGGTCTATGGTAACATGGCCCGCTATGTGGCAGTGGTGAGATGCATTCCCCTCTCTCCAGGAGGCTCCAGGAGAGTGAAGTTTGCTGCCATGCACATCCTGCATCTGGGTTCAGCTTCTCTGGATCCTCATCAGTGGCTTGGCTCTCCGACCAAGTAGCTGAAAGACCACATTCCTTTATGAGCAATAAAGTCTAACAGTTATCAACTGAATTCTTGACATGTTTATTTTGAAGTTTGCACGGGCAGGATCTGCACTACGTTGTGAGGCATTTGTGCCTTGGGGGAGGGTCTCAGAAGCTGAAAGAATGTCCTCCTTTGTGCTATGGAGACCTACTCCCTCTGTCCTCAGCTTGCTGCGGACCTGCAGTAGGGGGCTGTGCAGACACTTTGAAGGCATGAAATGTCTAGTGGCTATTTTTAAAAGGTCATTGTTTCCCTAAGTGTGGTTGAAGTCAGCTCATTTAGGAAGAAGAAGTGGGGAGGGTGTAAAGGAATAGACCAACTAGACTTGATGGAACATCAGTTCTTTAATTCTTTTCTGCAGGATGATGCCTCCCAGGAGAATAATATGCAAGCAGAAGTAACAGGTAAACTCAAACAGCACTTTAACACTGCGCTCCCCAAACAGAACAGCACCACTACCGGGGTGTCCGTTATCATGGTAAGTGGGACGCGGGCTTCTGCTGTGGGAAAGCTCAGTGTCTGGCCTGCCTGCTCAGATGGCGTTTGACTTTTGGAAGTAAACAGCCCAGAGCTTCCCTCACATGGAAGTTGCCACCTTCCATGTTTCTCTTTTCACTTCAAGATGGGCTTGGCACGTGCAGTGCACCTGCTGGCTGACCAGCGTTGAGTGTCGGGGTGGAGGTTGTGCAGGTACCTGCAAGGCAATCTGATGGTGGCCCAGGCACCGGAGCCCTGTGCGTGGCTCCCTTCCGGGCAGCCGTCTCTGCTCTTGTCCCTGCTGCTCATCTGGAGGATTCCCAGGCCTGGGTGGGGCTTACAGCAGAAGGAAGAGACTCCCCTCCTGCCTGCTCAGGGCTTCAAATGCAGATTATACGAGGCAGGAATTAGTCTTGGGAAAGTGGGATTTAAAAAGTCAAGGGTAAACACATGCCAGTAAAAAATAAGGGCTCTGTGACTTTTAAAATACGGGACAATGTAAAGCATCAGTTTTCTCGAGTCGGTGAAATGTTTAGAGAAGTCAGGAATGTTATCCCCGTCATTTTCCAGCCCTCCCTCCTTCCAAAATATGTGCAAAGCAGCTCATTTAAACCCGTAAAAGGAGCAAGTTGAAAGTGTAACATTAAAGTACGTGAAGAAGCATTGAGAAAAGTTTAGCAAAGGGAAAATGATGGTAGGAAGAACAAAGCCAGAAGTAAGGTCAGGATGCCAGCACAGCCGGACGTGGGGCCTTAACTCCTGCCCGGAGCATCCCCACCTGTCAGGGTGCCTGGTTCAGAGCAGCCAGCATCTGGGGCGCGGGCTTCCATTCCGCCCACGGGGGCAGGTTCCTTCTCCAGAGCCGGAGCTCTGGCTAAGCGGCTTCCCAGTCCCGCCCTGAGTAGAGGGGTGTGGGGCTGACGGGGGCCTGGTCCCCCGGGCTCTGTGGAGTCCTAGCAGCACTTCAGGCCAACAGGGAGCCTGATGCCTGTGACGGGCCATCTCATCGCCTGCCACTCTCCCCAGGGCCGCTGCCCCTCTGCAGAGGCTCCATTTGTTTCCCATCCAACCAGAAGGACACTGGCATGTGGTCTGGGAGCCTCACCTAAGACGCAGGGTCTACAGGGACACTGGAGGGAGCCCTTCCCCTTGGGAACTCCAGAAGCTGCGGGGTGTGTGGCGAGCATCTGCCCCAGAGCCGCTGGCCCTGCTCCCCGCTGCCCTCAGGGAGCCGCACTTGTTGGGCCCCTCTGTGTGTCCTCACAGCACCCTCGGTCCTCCCCTGCTGAGAAGTGCTCCCCGCCCCTGGCCTTCCCCAGACAGGGCTTGCAGGGCCTCTTGACATGTTGCAGGACTGGGGATGCTCTGTGCCAGAGCGATGGGGAGGCGCTCGAGGTGTGGTTTTCCTAGAGTCTCAGCAGTGTCTTGCTGAAAGCCTGGGAACAGCAGCGCTGTCACAGGATTGCGGCCAAAACGCTTTGAGAAGAACCATCTTGATGAAACCAACAGCATAACGTTTTCAAGCAATTCAAGGAGGAGAGTGAGCGCCGATGGTTGGGGTCAGGAGTCCTGGCCTTGCTCGTTGCAAGGCAGCTTCTAGGAAAAATGAGGGGGAAAAAAAAAACACATAAAAATTGGCACACTGGAAATAATGAAAGACCTGAAAGACCTTAAGAGTGATTTTCTAGAATGTAAATTTGATAACTGTGTTAGGCGAGCTTCAGTCTCCTGGAGGGGACACCCTTCCATGGGGATGGCCTGGGGCTCTGTCATCTCAGGACCCAGATAGGAGTCGATTGCCCAGGACCTGTGAGTGGCCACGGTTCTGGAACAATCCAGCCCTTGTCCCTGTGACCCAGAAAAGGTTCTGTTCTGGATAAAGGTTCTGTTGAGAGCCCCTCAGCCGAAACCTATGCTGTACAATTTCCAAATGGCATTTTCCCACGTGCTGATGGAGTGCAGCCGTCAAATTGCAGACCCTGGAGCTTCACCTGGATGTTTGTGTGAATGAGCACCCTGTACCGTGTGTAATTCCTGCGGTGACCGTGAGCGTCGTGTGTGCACATGTATGTTCAGTTGTCGTTTTGAGCATGTTGCCAGGGTCCCGTCTAACCCATGTTACCTACACAACTCTGCAGGTTGTTAGCTCCGAGCAACTGCTGAGTGAGATTATCACCTTCAGTACCTACAGGAGAGATCAGTAAAGCTTGTCTCTGGAGGTACCAATCTCAGTGGCCAAAAAAGGGGGCCTGTGAATTTCGGCCTGTCGTAAAAGCAGCGGTGAGGAGAAGGCCTCTTTGGGGGTGCGCTAATCCTCACCCCACAGAGGACCTGGCCCCGGGCATGGTTGTGTGGGGGTAGCTTGCGTGCCATGCTTCCGTGTCGTCCCATCCACTCCATCGTGGTCTGTGTCTGTGTCCTTCCCCTGGGAACAGTTTTAAGTGTTTTTTATATTGAAAACAATTCACCACACAATGGCTCTCCCTGGCATGCGTGTCCTCTTCACTGGAGTGTGCGAGGCAGCCGTGGTTCCTGCAGATACTAATAGTAGCGGGAATGATGGGACTTCGTCCTGAGGTGGGGTCCTCAGAGGACATTTCTGTACCTTACAGCAGGTGTCCACCTGCTCCTCTGCTGGGCTTTCCTCTGCCCCCCGAGCAGCGCCCCGAGCTCCGGCGAGACAGGCCAGGAGCCTTGAGTAACGGTGAAAGAAAAGTTGATGTTATTGTCTGCGTTTTGTTTGGCAGTTTGATTTGACAGCTTGAGAGACTTCAGAGGTTCACTCTTTACCCAGTTGAGACTGTGGGGACCCGAAAGCAGGACGCTGGTATTCAAACACACTCGCTTCCTTCCAGCAGCTTCTAATTCTCCACCCCTCTGAAATCTGCATGCTCAGGGGCTGCCGCCAGCGCCCAGCCCTCAGCTTCTCACCGGGGCAGGCCTCCTGCACCTGCTCACACCCCCGTTAGCCGGCCAGGACCGCCCTCAGGAGACCTGACCTGCACTGATGTTAGAACTTCTCAGCTTGCCCCTGACCTTCCTCCCCAGATGGCAGCTCGGGTCGTCCTGCCAAGTGCTGTTTCGGGCCCCGGGAAAAGGCCTCTCTCTGAACGACACCATGACATAGGTGCCCGCGGGGGCTCTTGTTCTGTCTCCAACTGGGTGTCTCGGGGTGCGGGCCCCGCCAGCGGCGGCCGGCGAGGCTTCGGGGTAGAGAGGGTTACACTGGAGCAGCTTCTGGGTTCCAGCAGGCCTGTGGTTTTGGGCGTGTCTAGCATTTTCGGGCTCCCCCTTAGCATCGCTAAGGAAGGACAGCGCCCCGCAGGGGACTCGGCCTCCCGGCGGGCTGCTCCAGCCGCGGCCCCAGAAGAGGCCACCTTGTGGCGGGAGCGGGAACAGGAGAGGCCCGGCTTCCCCTGCTCCGTCCCAGCCTGAGGAGGGGTGAATTCCAAGAGGTCTCCCCCTCTCGGGGGCGGTGCTGCTTTCATGGGGGACATGGGGGGGGTGCCTGGGGCTGAATTGAGATAGACAAAACTGTTTCGATCACGTTGCTTCTGTTGAAAGTAAGTCCAGTTTCTGTCCCCGCTTCTCTCCTCCCTCCTCCTGCCTCTCGCCGCCTGCATTGCTTCCCCCTGGCTAGGGCCAAGGCCATGGTATGTACTAACGCTGCACCGCTCTGTTCTGCGCACAGCCCTCTTCTCTCCCGGGAAGAGAAAAGGAGAAATAACGGGGTGCCGGCTGCTTCTGCGGTCGTGATCTCGCGGCAGGGCCCGGGCGGTGGGGGGGGGGGCAGCCCCTGTGCAGAGGAGCCGGGAGGGTGTGGGAAGGTGAGGCCGACATCCCCAAGGGGCGGCTCCACAGCTAGTGCTTCCCCGTAGCTGAGGTGTCCTTGGCAGCCCCTGAATATTCCCCCTGAGCCGGGAAGGGCCAGCGGAGCCAGGCTTGCACGACTGACACCCAGTGCCCGGGAGGCAATCCCAGGACCCTCAGAAAGCCCTGGGGGCACTTGATCCTCCCAGCTGCTGCTTTATTTTAGTCAGAATGAAAGAACTGCAGAGCCTTTCTCCTCGGGCAGCCCCGGTCACTGCCCTTGAGCTCTAGGTGCCTGAGCCCCGAAGCGTCCCCACCCTGGGGGAGCCCTGTGGGCCCCAGGCACAGCTTAGCTTGGGTGGGAGAAGAACCAGGCCCCCTCCTAGTCCAGGGCGAGGGGGCGGTCCTCGCTCCCAAGGAGCCCCCCACACTGAAAACGGGGGTGCAGGGGTGGGATAAAGTAAAGCCACACAGGAGAAAAGCAGGTGAGAAGATCAGGGAGGTTCTAGAAAAAAATGGCAGGCTGCACCCTCAAATTCCTGGTGCTCTTAAAGATTATGCAGCCATTTGGGGTGTAAGGGGGTCACTGACTACAGGCTGTGCCCAGAGTAGCTTTTCAGGCTGCGCTGGAGACTTGAGAAAACTTCCCGCCTCCATCCTGCTGCAGCCGGAGGGCTCGGGGTTCTTCCAGGCCAGGCTGGTGGCCGGGGCGCCCCCCGAAGCTAGGAGCCCCCCAGCTGGAGAAGAGGCCCCGGGCAGCCGGGGCCTCTGGGCAGACTCGGGTCCAGGGAAGCCGCAGTGATTTCTCCTCTTCTGTTTCTGGCCCCTGCATGCTCGCGGGGGGCGCGCTGGCCGGGCGCGCTGGCCGCGGCTGACGTGTGGTCTCCCCTGCTCTCTCCCCAGAACACGGCTCTAGATAAGGAGGGGCAGATTTTCTGCAGCAAACCCTGTGCGGACGGCAGCCGGCCTGGGACGGAGCCCACCTGTCCAGTCCCTCCCGCCGCGGAGGCGCCCCCGGCGGCCGGGCCCCCATCCCCTGCTGCCCTCGGCCCTCCCGCGCCCGCGGGCAGGGAGCAGGCCGGGACCTGGCGCCGCCACCGTGACTGAGCCCCGCGGCCGGCCTCAGGGTCCCCCTCGCCGAGGGCCGCGTCCTGCTGCTGGCCCGAGTTTCCCGCGCCCCCGGGGCCCCCGGGGACAGCGCCGGGCCGGCCCCTGGAGGCGGCCCGGGCAGGGTCCTCTTGGGGCCGGCTGTTCGGAGGGGCTCGCGCTAGATCATCTGTGTTTTCCTTTCGACGGACGTGTGACCGCATCACCCGGAGAATGTGCGACTTTTATCCCGCATCGAATGCGTTTTTATAGAAACACTTTGGATGAAGCAAGACTTCTCCCTGATTTCAGTCAACTCGGGGTGCGCCCTCTTTTCTTACAACGGAATTAGAACTGCACCGGCCCCACTGGGGGTGCTCGGTGCGAGCAGAGCGTGGCGCCCTCCCTGCTGCCACCGGTGGACTCCTCTCGCCAGGAGGACGTGCGCACGGGAAGACACTGGGGCCTCGGACACTGACTTCGGCCCTGAGGTGCTTTCAGGGGCCCGATGGGGGCCCCGCCCTGCAGCTTGGGGTGCTGGGCGCTCTCACCACAGCACTGGGTATTTATTTGTGCACAGACCCCAGGGAGGGTCGCGTTCTCCCCTGGACGCGGTGCAGCCCCCCGCTCTCCCCATGTATGTACTAGGAAATGCTCATGACGTCGTCCTGCGGGGTGTTCGAGGACAGGCCTGGCCCACGCGCACCTGCAGGCTCCGCGCGCCTCTCCGGGGCCCGCGCCCGCCAAGCGGGGTGACCACAGGCCCCAGGGAGCAGCGGGCGCCGGGCTCCTTGCAGCGCGGGCTGCTCACCTGCAGCGGAGCAGGAACCGCCGAGGACGGCTGGGGCGCAGCGAGGAGCGGCGGGCACGGTGCCCCGACCCCCTGTCACTGACCTTCTGGAAGGCTGCTGGCAGCTCTTCCGCCCCCCGCACCCCGCTCTTTTTAACGACTGTACATAGCCCGTGTATGTTTCCTTTCCTGCTCATCCTCGGCCCTGGCGGGCCTGTAGTTCCTCTCATGTTAGCGCTCTGCCTTCACCAGTGTACCCCCCTGCAATAAACTCCTCTGGAGAAGCACGGGCGTGGGGGGCTCGGTTCCTTTGCTTGGCGGGCACGTGGCTGCAGCGCTGCTCCTGGGCCCAGGGCGTGGGGGGGCACGGGGGAGGCTGGGGAGGGAGCTTGCTCCAGGCGCTGATGCTCGCGAACAGCGCGCGGGAACGAAGAGGAATTATCAGGGAATCTCGGCAACCAAGGACGGGGGGCTGGGACTCAGAGGAAAGTGGGGCGTCTGTCCCCCTCTGGGTCCGTCTCCCTCTCTGCGCTCGCCCCGTGTGTCCTCTGCTGTGTTCAGTGTGTGTGGCTTTGGGCTTCTCTCCCTCCGCCTGCCCGTGGTGCTGGCCCCGCCGGGGGCAGCGTCTGTGCCCGGCTCCTCCCAGCTGTGCGGCGCCAGGGCTGGAAACCATCTCCGGGGCTCTGGATTTTTGTCCACCTTGTGGAGGGAGCGAGGTGCTGCTAGCTCGGTGGCCCCTTGGATGGCCCGGAACATGGGGGGCAGGAATCCTGGGGACCGGAGGGCACATGAGCCTCGCAGCTCTTTCAGTCCCACGCACTCCGAGAGGGGGTGTGTGTGTGTGTGTGTGTGTGTGTGTGTGTGTGGGTGTGTGTGTGTGTGGTAGGAGCCGGCCAAGGAGCCAGGGGACCGCCGGGCGTAGGAGTGCTGAGGAGCAGAGCCGCGATGCAGCTTGAGGTTCTGACTCCAGAGCTGGCATTCTTCGCAGGCGCCCACGCCTGCCATGGAGCGCTCATCTCCCGCGGGGCCCAAAATAAAGGCTTTGACACGAGCAAACTGTCCATTCACCTGCGCCTTGACGGAGCGGTCCCTGGGCGCTTGTTCTGGGCTCACAATCAACATTCAGCGCAGGTCTGTGCCCCTGGCTGGCGCCTCTGACCCGGCCCGGTGAGGAAGGGGGGCGCCCCGATGGTGCGCGCCGCTTCAGCCGGGCTCCCTGTCTGGAGAAACTGCCCTTGAAAAGGGGTAGACGCGGGGCGACCCGCTGAAGCCGTCCCGGCGGCCGCTGCCCCAGCGCTTGAACCCGGAATCGGGGTGTGTGTCTCTCGAGAAAGGCCGCTGGGGGCGAGGACATGGAAAACGGGGCTCGGAAGCCTCGGACAGAGCGTCGGCAGAATCTGCTCCTGGGTAGAAGGTGACCGGGAGTGAAGTGTCGCTGCCTGAGGTGGACTTGGACGAGGATGTGTCCTCCCAGGAGCGCCGCGCCAGCCTTGCGGGTTAAAGAGAAGTGCAAAGGAACAGGTGGAACGAGCGCTATAGTGTATTCGCCTCAGTGTACCTGAGACACCTGACTTCACAGACAGTAGAAAAGTGACTGTGATATTTTCCACGCGGGGCTGCGCATGTGCCGGACGCTGGCAGCAGAGCTCAGGCTGGACGGGGCACGTGGACGGCCACCTGCCTCCCGGACAGCGCTGAAGAAAGGCCACAGGTCGGTCGTCGTCTTTATTTACACGACGTGAATCCGGGCTGAATGTTGCTCAGCCCTGGTTTAAAGGGGTGGACGGGGCTACGGCAATCCCGGCGTGGTGGAACTCTGCCCCAGAACGCGGTACCACAGTGTGGCATCCTGGGACCTGACTGCAAGCCTGCCCAGGCCTCGCACGCACAGCTTCGTGTGACAGAGCCGAGGGAGGATGCAGCTGCCGCCAGGCCCTTTCTTGAGAGGCTCCCACAGATCTTGGGCAGCACAGGCCGAGCCCTTCTGGGGGGGCCGTGCAGACAAAGCCAGGGTCCTCCAAGGGGGTAGGTGCGTGGGGAGGGGGCTCGAAGCCTGGCCTGCATGGACTGGCTGGTGTGAGGGGCCCAGCTGCAGACTGTCTCTGGCTGTGTGAGAACCGTCTTGGGGGGGGGGGGTGCAGGCTGCTTTTCGTCGCTCTGGGTGGGGCCCCGAGCAAGGGCAGGGGGGAGGCACAGAGGATCAGCTCTGACAGGTGCGTGCAGGGTCGGCGTCACGGCGGTCAGGCACGGGCCTGGCTGCTTCCAAAGCAGTCATCTGGGTTTGGGAAATGCTCAGATGCCAACTGAGCACCCCAAGACTCCAGGGCATTTCCTCCATCGGATTTGAGCCACACCACGGTCCCGAGGGAGAGGTGTGGAAAGCCCGGCTGGAGAAGACTCGGCCAGAGCTGCGGGGCTGGGACGGCTGCGCCCCTCCAGGTAGCCAGCGAGGCTCCAGGGGGGACGGGGTGGGGGAGGCGCCTGCCCCGTGGGAGAAGATGAAGATGAAGAGGTTGCGGGCCCGGGGGTGGGGGTGAGTCTGCTAGAGGAAGACAGTGGCGTCTCCACAGGGCGGGGGTGTGCGACTGTGGCTCATCTTGGCCGGTGGATTTCATCCTCGGCTGAGGATGCGGCTGTCCGGGCGGCGGAGGGGAAGGAACGTGAGAGGTCATTTGCCGCGGTCGTGCCTCTGGGCCGAGCTGGGCACCCGGGCCTCTGGGGCGGCGAGGCTGCCTCCAGCCTGGGGTTGGGGCTGGGGGGCCGAGCGCCTGTCTGGGCCCAGGTGGAAGCCAGGTTCGGCGAATGTATTTACATCAAAGCTGCAGAGCAGCCCACTTCTTCCTGCCGGGGGCGAGGACATCCCTAGCCGGCCCGGATCCTGGTTTTGGCAAAGAAAAATCCTCCTGCACTTGAGACAGAAAAGTAATTCCCTTCCTGTTCTGGCAACGGCTGCGGAGGTCCTGGAGCCCGCGCGATGCCGGAGCCGGCGCAGAGCCCGGGCGCCTGGGAAGGAGCTCGGCTCAAGGCCACACACCCTCGGTGTCCGAGCGGACGCCGGGCTCGCCCTGGGCTGGCACACTCGGCCTTTCCCCTCCGCAGCGCGGGGGAGGCGAGGGGCGGCCTGGCCCCAGCGGTCTCGGGCTTCTGAGTCCCACAGCGCCGGGGCCAGAACCACCCGGGGCTGCGACTTTCCTCACTGTTGCAGGCCGGAGGGCTCTTTCCACGGCCCGAGAGGACTGGAAGGAAATCTTCAAATGACCCTTCCTTACTCAGGTGCTACTTTAGGTCCTTTTCCTTCCTGTTGACAACCAGGCGGCCACCGCCAAGCTCCGTCGCTTTCCCGGCGCGGCAGCCCCTGACGCCCGAGGGTTGATTCCCTTCCTGACAGGTGACGCGACCCCCGAGGGTGGCAGAGGCGTCCGTCCTTGAGAGAGAAAACCCTTCCCTTCGGGGGCTGCGGGGCAGCCCCGGCCCAGCGGGCGCAGGTGCTGACTGGCCCCGTGGCAGCAGACGTGAGGGGGAGTCCCTCGTCCTGCCGGTGTGGACGGGTGTCGTCCTGGCGCCGGGAGGCCTGAGGCCTGGCCGCCCCGCCGGGCCCTGCCAACCGCTGAACTAAAGACACTTGTGCTTTCTGGATGCAGGTGGCACCTGAGTCACCGTCCGTGTTCTCGGGCAGCGGGGAGAGCGGGACGGACCAGGGTGGGGCCCGGCCAGGCTCAGTTGGCAGGGCCAGGGGCTCCTGAACCACGTGCAGTAAACGCGCCCCCAGGTGCCGAGGGGAAACGGCTCCTTGAAATTCCCATGCGGGTGGATCCAAACTCGAGCTGCTCCCATCCAGCTGTGTCAGCTGAGACGGGTGCCGTGGGAGTCCGACGTCTCCTGTAAACTTAGCTCGCAGCTGGCTCCCCACTCAGTGCAGACGGGCAGGGAGGACACGTGGCGATGCCAGTGCGGGTGCTGCGGCCGTGCCCCTGGCTGGGTTCTGCCCTGGAGCTGCAGGGGCGTGGGCGGGCAGGTTGTCCGTCGCCACTGGCCGCCTTCCCACAGCTGCTCCCGGCCCCCGTCCTCTGCGCTGTGAGTAGACCCAAGTGTCTCGTTATTTCAAAGGGCAACCGTGCTCCTTTTGTTTTAATTTTTTATTTATACAAGAGCCGGGGTACAGGCCAGAGACGTGGAGGCTGAGAGGATTCACCAGAGAGCAGGGAGCAGAACAGGCAGACAGACCGAAAGCACTGCTGAGGGGAGCAGCGGGCACGACAGGTCTGCCGCGCCATGTGGGCATCTCCCCGGCTGGCCGGGAATCGAACCCGCGCTGCAGAGGCTGCGGACAGCTTCACACACAGCGCTGCGCCCAACCCGCTGTGCCACCGGGGCGGCCCCCACAGTGCGCCTTCTTATTGACTTCATTAGAACATTTGTTGAGGGGGGGGTGCTCTGGGGATAAGCTCCTCCTCTGGGAGTGAATGGTTCACCTGTGTGCCGGCCAGGTTTCATGTTCTTGTTCTCCGAGTGCTCAAGCTTCCTCGCTGAGCCCTGGCAGCACTTCCTGAATTCCAGAGCCCCCAGAGCAGGGCGGTGATGTTTCGGCAGGAACCAGTACTGTCGGGGAGCAGAACCTCACCCCCGAGGAGGGGCCTGGGCGCCGGCGGTGAATCCCGCGGCTGTGACCCGCACACGGCCCGGAGCCGCGTCTGCTCGCTGAAGGTGCTGCCGGGTTTCCTGTCTGTCGTGGGTCACCCAGTCCCCCCCAGCACCTCCCCTTTCCTCGTGGGTTCCCATTCCCGTGAAGGAATGCTTTTGTTTCAAGGAGTTAAAATCGGACAAAGCAAGGAGTGTTGAGGACACCCTCGCTGAACAGACTGTCTGAGGACGAGGCCCGTGTTGAGAGCAGCTGTGTTTGTTTTACGGGCGTCACTTCTCTCGGATTTCGGCTCCTGTGCCGTAGCCGGGCGTTGTGACACCTAAAGAGGCAGTGGAGAGACCGGTGTTCTCTTTAGGTTCCCAGGGGAAACTGCTTTTTTTCCTTCGATTTTTTAATATTGCATTTTTATTGAGGTCTCCTTGGCTGACAACCGTGTGTATTTTAGGGTTATAGGTATAGTTCGTGGGGCTCCCTCCCTTTGGTCTCTGCACCCTCCTACTCCTTGTGCACGTTCAAAGAAAGTTCACGTCTGCAAATTTCAAGTGACGGCATTTTAAAGCGGCGTCTCAGCTTCACGGGGAAATGCGCGCGCTGCTTCCCATGACGCAGGCCGGCGGGGAGCATTTAAAAGGTGGTGTGCAGTTTCGTGATCTCCCGCTCCTGAAATAGAAGCGAAGGGTCAGTGAAGTGCGCTGATGGGTCCGTGTACTGATGAGGGACAGGTGGTCTTAAGGAGCTTGTTTTACAGGTCCTGCCTCTTGCGTTGGTTTCAAGATCCTTAATAGGTGTTGGGAAACACCGCAGGCTGGGGGCCTCCCGGGTGGCGCAGGGGCCTAAGGCTCAGTGCTATCAATGCAACGGCCTGAGTTCGAGCCCTGGCCAGGGAGCCTCACGCAGGTATGGTGTGGCGGACCTGTTGTGTCGTCTGCTGCCACTGCGTGTAGAGTGTGCGTGTAGAGTGTGCGTGTAGAGTGTGCGTGTAGAGTGTGCGTGTAGAGTGTAGAGTGTGCGTGTAGAGTGTGCGTGTAGAGTGTGCGTGTAGAGTGTGCGTGTGTGTGCGTGTAGAGTGTGCGTGTAGAGTGTGCGTGTAGAGTGTGCGTGTAGAGTGTGCGTGTAGAGTGTGCGTGTAGAGTGTGCGTGTAGAGTGTGCAGCGGGCGGGGACCAGGCAGCTGAGACTCAGGGCACTAAGACATGAGCCTCTCAGAGGCCCGACGCATGGCTGCTGCGCCAGCGCGCACCACACTGCATGTCCTGTAGACCATGCTGAGGACACAGCAGGCTGGGAAATGCAGATTACACAGTTCGAAAAACTGTCCACCATGATGAACCCGGAGCCCTCCCGTACAAGACTCTATGACAATTAAAAACAAGCAGAGACCTGGTTTTCCTCTTTCATCTCACCAAGATGGAGCAGCCAAGGAGACACATTGGAAGTTGGCAGATGCAATATGTCATCTGATGGATTTGGTTGCATGATCTGAAGTCTCTTCACTCTTCTAAGTCTGATCTCATTTGAAAAATTAAGTACATTTAAAGTTATTTTTAGCCAAAACATTCAGTCACTTCTTTCACGATTTCTGATATAATGAATGCACATGCACAGTGAAAGCGGTTGTTTTTCTTGCCACATTCTCCTCACACGTTCAAGAAATAGCTATAACCATTGTGCTGGGATCTGGACCCGTCCTCACAGCTTCAGGCCTTAGTGAAAATCCCTCAAGGCGTGTCCATGGGCGCCTGTCCCGCTGCAGCTGGGCAGACGGCCTGAGGCTCCCAGAGTCTCGAAATCCTCATCTCCAAAAACATAAACTGATCGCTGCCCCGTCAGCGCTTCCCACCGTGATGCTATTATAGAAATTGGAGAATTCTTCCAGTTGTTCCATTAAAAACAAACTGAGCTCAGTGAACTCAGGCTCGGGCTCCTTCTAGAACAAACACAAAACGCAGGCGAGAGCTTGTAACGCACAGACGCCGCAAGGACCCAGCCCCAAAACTCAGCGTTGGAAACTGCTTTATGAACCGTGCTGTCGGCCTGTTCCCAGAGGGCAGCCCAAGTCCCGCGTGCCTGCTTATGAGTTAGGTCTTCCAAGTGTTCTTCTACCATTTTCTCTGAAATTTCCAAAATATCGTATCACAGATTAAGACCTATGAAAATGCCGACTTGACCAGGGACCGGGTACACTCATTTGATTCTAAGTCCTGCATTTCTGCCCCTGTTGTCCTCTTGCACCAGTTTCAGAGCCCATCAAGAACCGCAGGCGACGCTGCATGTACAGTCCTTCGTTGGGTCATTTGTTCACGCCAGAGCTAGTGTTCTCATTCCCGAAAGCCCCGAGAAGAGGCTGCTGTCTGGCCAGAGCAGGCCCCGCCTTCCTCTTGTCGTTCAGGATTGAGGCTCTCCTTAGTGTGCAACACTCTGCCAAGACCAGAGTCTGACAGTTTCACCTGCGTTTAAAACCTAGGAGTAAAAAATATTTCCAATAATCCAATGAAAAATTCCATTTTCAATTTTTCTAGCCAACTCAGGTGTTTCATTCCAGTCTCTGCTTCTGGAGAAGAGCTGAAAGGTGTGGAAGGAAGGGGGAGCCGCTAGGTAAGGCGCAGGGGAACTCAGAGATGGAATGTCCGCTTTCACGCAGAGTTCACAACTTACAAAGAATTTATTTAGGCAATACAGAGCTTTTCTCAAATATTTTTCACAGAATTCCACACAGCAATCTACTAGAAAAGTAGAATTGTACAACGCCAAAATAACATTGTTTCTTAGTACAAATTGCTAGTCAAAAAAGGAAAGTGAGGTTTAATAACAGACAGTAAAAGGGGGGTTGCTGGATACAGCACCTGGCAGCCTCTAGTCTCAGACCCGAGGCGGGGAGCGCCGTGCACGCGCACAGGCAGCCCTCGGGGTGAGCTTTGGTACTTGCATTTACTTGAGAAGAAAACAAAAGTAGTGCACCCAGGAGCATTGCCATTTCATTTTGGTGTGCGATGAAGACAACAGGTCAGGAAAACATCGTCGTATCTCACACTTACTATAACATTAGCTTTTCTACACTAACCACACAGTAAACTAAAAAAAGCCTCTCCCAAACCATGATTTTCTAGGTCTAGAACATGCTTGAGGAATAATATTGACAGAAATCATTCATTGAGATGTTTTAAATTACATTTATTATAATTTAAACATTACCATTTAAATCCCAGAAACTCCAGTGCTGAAACAGCACGCACGTTTGGAAAAATACAGGACCCAAAGTACAGCATAAAATTCCCCTCTATCCCAGGATTAACCCCCTTCCCTACTATTAAAATCATATATTTTCCAAGATAACAGATAAAGGGGACTTCTTTTCATAACAGAGCTAGAATAAGTGGGTTTAATCGCCCCACGGTACGTTTCCATAATTGGTGAAAATAGACTTCTTGTTATGACTAAAAATATAGATTTTTTTTAAAACTACAGAACCCAGCAGCCAGTTTTCTGCTTTGCTATATACCCCCAAAAAAGTCAAGCAAAGTCTACAAAAATAGCAATTAACTTTAAAAAATATTTTCACTGTTTAGGGCAAATTTAAGTTACATTCAGATGTGATAGCTTCTCTAAGAGAAAGATGCTCTGGGGTCCTTCCCCCACCTCGGCCAGGGCCAGGCAGCACGACCATCAGTAGCGGGTTTGGTATTCATGATGCCACCGGTTAAAGTCATTGTAGAACAGAACGATGCTTCCTGAGGCCATGCCAGAAATGATGCACCTGGAAGAAGCAGGCAGATGTTTACATCGCGGGGATCTGTGACTAACCGCTCGCCGCAGATCACGGTAAGTCTAGATGATGGCAGTCAAACCTACACTTTTTGAGAACTCAGGGATGTCTGAAATTCTGTCCTGAGTGCTCTCAGTGCCCCTGCTGACACGCCAGAGTTTGCCTTTTCATGGAAAGTGCAGCCACTCACTCAAACCGGAATAAATTTGGTAATTTCTAAGGGGACCAGGCTGGTAATCCTACCTTATATTTTAGGTGTCAGAATCAACAGAGTCACAATCTCAAAATAATTGCTGGTGGAGGAAGCAACACACAAGCAAGTAGCAGGAATTGGACAGGTAAAGAATCAGTGAAAAATGAGAAAACAGTATTGACCAAAATTTGGGCTGAGGTCTAATCTACAGAAGTGTATTTTATGTCCATCATGCTGTAGGTAGGGGCCTAGTCCTCCTAACATAGCAGCTCACAAAATGATCACTAACAGCAGGACCTGCTACTACCAGTGCTTGCTTTCCTGTTCCTGACAAGGTGGGACAGGAAAAGCGGTGGACAGTGGTAGGACAGGTGTTTGCAGGAGCCAATCTTGGAGCTGCTCTAAGACCAAGCTGATTAACTTAGCACTTCCTCTACGCTTTGGTTAAGACCAGTCCTATTCAGTGTGTGTCCTAGTACCTCATATAAAAATTAAGAACTACAATGTGCTATCAGTACCAAAAAATCAGCTGAATATATGTCTTAGTAATTCCTTTAAAGAAGTGAACTAATCAAAAGGCAAGGCCTGGCTGAATGAATAAAAAAGCATGATGAGCTTATATGTTGTCTATGAAAGATTTATTTTAGCTCTAAAGACAGTTGAAAGGATGGAAAAGACTTGTCATGCAAGAAGTGATGATGAGAAGTGTGCGGGCCATAACAAGTAAACTGGGCTTTAAGCAAATATATGTTAAGGAAGAGAAGAGTAGTAGTATATTGCTAAAAGGGTCAATCCATCAAAAAAAAAAAAGCAATTACAAAAATAGACACCCACGCTGTATGGGGCAACAGAAAAAGGGAAAAGGAAAAAAATGAGAGACACTTGACTAACCCACTTTCCATAATGGGTAGAACAACCTGGAAATGGTAATAGAGTACTTGAACAATACTAAAATCCATTTGACCTTAATTATATATACTGTATGTACAGATCATCAGTACATGTTGGATTTTAATATTTCTGAAGTACTCCAATAACATGCAGTATACAAATTACATTATAGTTGAGCCACAACACACCATAATATAAATTCTGTATCGCATATGCTGTAAATGGTATATGACATAATAGCTTCATTACATGCCATGCAATAATTCCCTTATACATGGTATAAAAATCCATATTACATATGCTATAAAGACTATATATAGCATGGGTATGCAATTGCCTATATCATATTTCTATTATATGCCATGTTATAATTGCCTTAGCACATGTACAACAATTAACACACATATAATTCCCACAGCATATGAAATGAATGTTGCCCATGGTATAAACAATATATCACATATGTGATATTTCCTATACTGCATATGTAATAAACAGTATATTACATATGCAACACCACCTATATTATCCATGTCATATGTTCTTTATTGCATGCCATAATGCAGATATTACATATGTGCTATTCCTCCCCCCCCATAGCACATATGTAACAATGCTCATAGTGCATAGGAAAGATTGTTTTTTTTTAGTCCATGCTATAAATAATATATTACATATGCACTAATGCCTATATAGCACATGTAATATGTGCTTTATTAGCCATATTATAATTATCACATATGCCATATGTTGCTGTATTGCATGTGCTAGATTTTTTCCATATTAAATATGCTATATTTATATTACAGGCCATAGCATATGTAGCATATCTCATAGTCTTTATTGCATATGTAATATTGCCTATATTGCATAACAGCTAACTCATTACATTTTATATATATTCCATATTACACCTATATTATGCCATGGTATATATGTTTTTCATTGCATGTGCTATATGTATTTCCTACATTGCATGGCACAATAGTCTATATACTGCATTTGCTATACAATCTATTACATATACTATATGTTCTGTCTTAAATATTCTATAGTCTACATGACATGCTATTCTGTATTGTGTTTCTACAACACATTTTCTGCATTTCCTGATCCCTTGTTTGATTCCCCTACATTCCTCCAGTAAGTAAAACCATTTTTCTTTTTCCTTCTGACTTATTTCACTGAGCATAACGCCTTCTAGCTGTTGCTGCAAATGGTATGAGTTTATAGTTTTTGACTGCAATATGTATTTTATGTTGATGTATATATTTATACTCACATTTAAATATGTGAAATATATTTTATTAAAATATATTTTTTAGAATATATTTTAATAGCAATAGCATATGTATAAAATATTTACTTGACTATTAACATGTAAATGCATGTAAACTTGTATATTTGAAAACTGGATATGCACATACAGATACATGAATGTATACAAACGTGTGTGTATATATGAATTGAATGTGTAATATATGTATAGAAATATATCCCTTATTCAACAGCCTAATATACATTTTTCTCAGTGCACATGGAACATTCTCCAGGACAAGCCATATGTTAGAACACCAGACCACTAAACAAATTTTATGTGCAAATACATAACCAATAGGTCAAAGAACAAATTTCAAGGGAAATTAGAAAATATCCTGAAATAAAATGAAAACACAACAAACCTTACTGGTGTTCTAAAAGAAAAACTTACACCTCTAAACGCATACACTAGGAAGATCTCAGTAGCATAATTCTATACCTTATGGAACTAGAGAAAGAAAAATGGACAACAGGAACACAGAGAAAATCAGTAAAATTAAATCATTAGATGACTTTAAAAAAAAGGACTCAAATTACTAACATCATAAATTGGAAGCATTTTATAAGAGAATACCAGAACTATATGCTGAAACAAAAATCTTAGAGATACTATACCCAAACTGAATCATGAGGAAGCAGAAAATTGGAAGACTTATAACAAGTAATTCCCAATATAGAAAGCCCTGCACCAGATGGCATCACTGGTGACTGCCACCAGACATTTAAAAGGACGGATACTAACTCACAGTCTGCTAATAAGTTGAACAGGAGAGAACATTTCCTGACACTTAAGTCAGACGAACACATTACGAGAAAAATGTATAGACTAATATCCCTTACCAATGCACAACTTCAACAAATACTAGCAAGCCAAATTCTGCAGTATAGGAAATGTATTTTGCACCATGATCAAGTGCACAAGTACTTTTTTATATGGTGTAGTAAAAAATATGAACAGAATCAACAAAAACTGCATGATTGTCCCAATGGGTGCAGAAAAGGCATCTGGCAGAACTCAACATCCTTTCATGACAAAACACTCCAACTAGAAAGAGAAGGGACGTCCCCACATGTGATAGAGAGCAGAATAAGACAAGTATACCGGCTTTCGCCACTTCTGTTCAGTACGAGAGAGACTTCAGGAAGAGAATGGAAGGGAACACCACGAGCCATTAGGATCCCAATCAAAATCCCAATGAGCCATCACTCCACGCCAGCTGGATGAGTTCCATTTTAAAACAACCAAAATATAGCAAGTGTGGGCGAGGATGTTGAGAAACTGGAAACCTTTTATATTGCAAGTGGCAACAGAAAAAGGTTTCAGACACTATGAAAACAGTTGGGCATTTCCTTAAAAAGTCAAACAGAATTAACACATGACCCAGCAATACTACACCTGGTTATATGGCCAGATGTACAAGTGAAAAGCGGGATTTGTACGGCTATCTGTGCACGAGCATGTGCCGGACACAGATGAACAGGGGATGGTGCATGCCGTGGTGCCTCTCAGCACAGTGGACACGTTTTGAGAGATGTCACTCGGCAGTTTTGTTGTGCAAATGCTGGAGTGTAGCCGTGCACCAGCCCCCACACGCCGGCTCCAAGGTGGAGCCTGTGGGATATTCAGCTGCCTGGGGTGCTCAGCGAGCGACCATGCAGTCAGCTGGCACTCAGCCTTCCAGAGGAAGGAGATTTTGATACCCTGCAGCATGGATGAACCCCAGAAACATCACCATGTGTTACGTGCAATAAATCAGACACAAAAAAGGACAAATATGGTATGATTCCACTTTCAACATGTACCAGAAGACGCAACTGCACAGAGACGACACTGAGGGGAGCTGGGAAGGGCGAGAACAGCTGTGGAGGGTGATGATGGCTGCACAGCGGTGACCTGCACACTAAGAAATGACTTCAACGGCAAATTTCATGTATGTGTTACCACAATAAAAAAAAAAAAAGTTAAAATGAGTGACTGTGTATATATGAAGACTTGCATATTACATGACAGATAGAGGATCTCCCCCAAATTTGTCACTTGGTAAGAAATAAGCCAAATCTCTCCATTGAACCCTACTGAACAGAGAGACATTTTACATCAAATGTTTATGGCTCTTAGGAAAAAACATAAGAAAATAAAAGGCTTTCACGGCAGTGTAACTAGCGTGATTGTTCCTTAAATCCCACCTGTTCCCGGAGAAGTCAGTCTCTGTCCAAGAGCAGAAACATCATCAGAGAAATCCACACTTTTTCAGAAGCACATGGGCAACCCCAGTATTCGCTGACTTTTTTGACGGCAACACAGCCCCGCAGCCCAGCCCCACCCTCCCCACAGCCCATCCCCTGGGCAGCTGTTCCCGCAGCACCAGAAACCCGGGGCGCCCGCCTTACCTCTGGTCGTAGGACAGCGCCATGGCCCGGACGCCCGCGTCGCAGCCCGGGTAGGAGAAGAGCTGCTTGAGGTCAGACACTTGCCAGACCACGACCACCCCGTGGTCGCCCCCGGTGAGCAGGTACTGCCCGTCCCGGCTCAGCTGGATGGCCTGCGAGACAGGGCGACACTCAGCAGGGAGGCGGCGGGAGGGGAACTCAGTGCCCCCCCCACCCTACCCGTAGTTCCTGCACCCCGTCCAGGCCCCCCATGCAGGGAGCACGCATGCGTGTGGCACCCAAGGCGCTGAAGACTTGCCGCTTTTCAAAAATCAAATGGACATAATTGGGCAATATTGGAGTGTTCTGCCGTTTAAATTTTTGCACTTAAAGGATGAGGTGGCACACACTCAGTTCCTCAGGTGCCATGCGGGGGCGCCCGCTGTGGACTGGGCCAGCGCTGAGATAAGGAGCCTGCGGCATCCTTCGAGTTGCACCGTGGCCAGGCTAAGCCCACTGTGTACCAAGGCTTGGCAGGCAGTGCTAACTCACCTCATAACCCCAATAAAGCCTGCTCCCCTGGAGGCTGTGGCCCCCCGAGAGGAGACGGGCAGCCTGGGCACTTCCCTAGGCTTGCTGGATTGCTACAGCAGGAGGAGCGTGACCTGAAAGAAAACCATGACTCCCAAGGTTGATTCAGCCCCAGCTCAGGCACGGCCTTCTTTCCCCAGGACTGCCTGTGTCAGAAAGTGCAAGCCCCAAAATCTGCTCTTCCATCCTGTAAAAACGGGCCACATGCAGCCCACCGCCTATTTTATACGACCACATTTTTTAATGGCTGAAAAAAATCAAGAGTTCTATTCCATGTCACACTGAAAATTACACGAGTTTCAAGCCTCAGTGCCTGTAAGGGTTACTGGAACAGAGCCACACGAATAGCTGCAAGAGTGTACAGAGCCTGCAGAGCCCGAAATATTTACTGTTTGTCCCTTTACAGAAAAAGTGGGCCAACTCCTGACAGAAAAGGTCCCTCCCTACTGCAAGAGCTAATCCTGTTACCCCTGCCTGCCAAGCCTTTTCCTGGGGTACACATTTCCTTTCTTTACGTGGCACTAGGAATTCTAAAACGTGTTGCAACACCTGTAATCTGTGTCCACGTGGACACAGTGAAATGTGGGAATGAGACTGTGGCTAGCAAGCCAGAAAGAAAACCCACTAACTTCTGAAGAGTATATTTCCTCTGCTCTGCACTCACTGTAATACAGTTACCTCGAGTCTTTACCCTGTGACTTTTTTTTAATCATAGAAAAACAAGGACTATTTCATTGCCGTTCATTTACATGCACGTAACAGGACAACTCTTAGCGGTTTTGCATACATACCTCATTCTCAAGAATGGAAAAATACATCGAAGAGATGAAAACCCTGCCTGTCCTTAACTCTTAACCACATATAAACAGTAAGATTTTTCAAGAGAAATAAAAATCAAATCCTGCCCCCTCCTACCTGCCCCCATTGCACAAATGGCGATCTCCAGGGAGTATGGGGAGCGCCGGTGAAGACCAGGACAAATAATTATTTGCTATACTTATCAAATTCAGCTGCTGAAAGTCCATTAACCTTATTCCTGTGGCCCACTTGAGTTTCATACTTGAGGCGTTTTACTGGGTAAGTGCTATATTAAAACAAATTAAACCCATTAATCTTTAACTCTTTGTTCTAGCAAAGAACCTTGAATTCTAGCTTTGTGCGGCATTAAATAAAACCTGAGTACACATCCACCAGCATTCAAAACATTCTCATAAGTGAGGTTCCTGTCAAAGTGCAAAAAACATTCTGTCTGCTTTTTTCCTAAGCAACTGTCAATTCCCTTGGAGGGAAGGGCCAGGGCACCGCAGCCCGCCACCTGCCACCCCCGCCCAGGTCCCACAGTCCTTCATTCCATGCCTCTGCAGTGTCCAGACTGGGTGAGACTAGAGAGCTTAAGAGAGCCCCCGAGATGTGTCCGTCTTGTCCTCGGACACCCCGAGTGCCTTGGGGAAGGCCACACCCGGCCACACCCGGCTACCCCAGGGCTGAGGAGGACCAGCGGTCAGTGTGCTGGGACGGGCACATCCTCAACGCAGCTTCCTGTCCTCGGGAGAAGGAGAAAAATGGATCCCTCTGGGTGCAATGGTGGATAAAAGAACGCTGCTGCTTCGCACAGGCTGCCTACTTACATTTAAGTTATTCATTAAGATACCTAACCACCGCCTCGCGGATGTGCTCTGCTGTGTTAACCAAAATGCCACGAAACAATCTGGCATCTAAATAAAAACAGGTGGGAGGCCTCAGTGACTGCAGAGGTTGCCCAGGCTACATGCCTGCGGGGTTCCTGGTTTAAGAAGCAGCTTTATTTCTGGTCTGCGCTGATGGCTAACTTGCTCCCAGGGTCTCCCTTCCTTACACAGGCTCAGGTGCAAGGGGGAGCTGGAGCGTTTCCCTTTGATGGTCCTGACCGGCGCCTCCTCCCCGAGGCGGTGAGCGGTGCGTGGCAGTCTCTGGAGCCGTGAGCAGGCAGCGCTCGCTTTAGACCAGCTCGCTTTAATCACACAGTTGCCACCTGTGAGTTAGTATGATAAAGTGCAGAAGTGCTGGGGAAAACGCAATGGATTGTTTAAGCCTATAATCCAGTGGGAAATATTACCAAGGAAAAAACAATGGCCATCGGGCAGGGAGGGAAACCCGCTCGTGGGAGGCCTGCGTCGCCTCCCTGCCGCCGCCTCCAGGAGCAGCTCGGAGCCTCTGGTGCTAACTGAAATGCCACAGAAATTGTTTTAGCCAGCAAGGGATTTCAAATTCTTTTAGAGATTTACTAGTGTAGCTGACGATATAATTGCAACTCAAAGTGACAGATTATCAACATTATGATTGTAAAGACAGAAGGAAAGGAAAACCTCCGATGTGTACTTTCTTTAAATGAAGTGTGGGAGGAAAGGAAAATAAAAGCCAAGTGTCCGTGTGTGCACTTTCTGGTGGAGGCGGTCAAAACGCAATGGAGAAAAACTCGGAATTTTTCTAGGATACAGGAGCAACAAGTGGCCCTAATTTGATCAACGTGATCTCTCTCTAGGGTTTTATTCCCTCTAATCCTTCCTGACTCTAGTATTTACTTGAGAGAGGGTTGATCAGACTCGATCCAGGAAGCCAGGAGCGTTTAGATAGCCTCGGTCACCCCTGGTCAGCACCAGCACCGAGAACAATCTCCAGAGCAGCCTAACGCCTCCCTCATCGGCATGGGCAGCCTCCTCCCTCCGACCGTGTGCTGCTGCACTTCCCACATGCCCGGAAAATGACAGGCGCGCCACGGGTTCATTTTTCCTTAGGTAACCTGCACCAGGAAGCGTGGGGGTGAGGAGGACCTGGACACAACAGCCTCTCCAAAGGGCCGTCCTTTTCTCCTCAACCTCCAAGAGCCCCGTCCTGAAAGTGATGCAGGTCCCTGCCGGTTACTGAATAGGAAAGAAGATTTGCTTAATTCACATGAAATTTGAAGCCCAACCCCCTTCACGTGGCACGTACTGGTCTGGTCATGTTATGCGTGGAGAAGCAGGAGTTGAGGTTAACCCTACACGGCCATGCTCCGCACGCCGCCGCCGTCGGCCCATTCAAAGGTGAGAGGAGCCGACTGCAGCCTGCTCCAGCACACTGTCGTAGCTCTGACATTCAGGAACCAGCAAACAGTTCACTTTCTTAAATAAAAACCAAAACCCCGTGTAAAATCATAGCACGCCACCCAGGATGACTTCACAGATCTCAAAGAAACCCCTTCTGCTGAGGCTCCTCCTGGCCTTGGCTCGGTCTCCGGCACCGAGCACCGGGCTGAACAACACGCAGCTCTGGGGGACAGTCTGGGGTCCAGGCAGTGCCGCGCCTTGTCCTTGGGCTGCCTGATGATTTTCTTCTGGGGTGGACAGAAGGCCTCGGCACCTCAAAAATAGGTTTGAGAGGGGGGAGGACTCTCCCTCCCCCGGTCACACGGAGGCAGACGCGCGCGTGCCGACGCGGCGGAGGTGCACTCACCCTGATGTTGTCATCCGTCTCCACTGTGGCCTGGAGTTTCCCGTTCACGCTGAAGGTGCAGAAGCAGCCGTTCTCATAGAATATGACACAGTGGCCCTCTCTTGACGCCTGAATGAGTTTTGGTTTCAGGCAATTTTCAGGACCCTCCAAAGTCCTCAATAAGTCTCCATTCATGGAATGTATGAGACACGGTCCTTCTGGCAAAGAGGTGAGACAAAAGGCCAAGTTCATTTTTAATAAGAGCGAGAGATGTGACCTGAATCTTGAGTAAGATCAAAGAGGACAGTAAAACCACATGACAGTTGAAGAAAGCTTTCGAAAGTTATCTATCCTATATCTATTCTCTCACAAAATCTCCCCAGCGTGCCGATCAGATCCGTGGAAGCAGCTGAGTCACTGACTTCTCCTCAAGCGAAAGGAAGTTAATTTATGAAATTCATTACACAAAGAAGTGATAACAATGTGAGGAATTTAGAAAGGAACAGATTTTAAATCCTACAAGAGCTTCCAGGGAGGTTGGGACACAAGCAAACACGGCTCACATGATTCCCCAAGTTACACAGACCCGGAGAGCAGCACGTGGGCAGTTTCTGAAGGCCCCGGCCTTTCCCCCTCCCACTGCCCACACCTTTCTAGGGAAGGGCAGTTCGGGTGGTCCCCGCCCCACAGTAAGTTCTTCTGCTTCTCCTTGTCAAGCAAGCAGCAGCGCTCAGTACTCCCAGCACGCCCCGCTCTGCAGGCTGACTGGCCGCAGGCTGGATGCTTGACAAGGGACCTGCCGGCAGTCCACGGAGAGCAGAACCTTCCACTAACTGTGTCTGCAACATGCAAAGCTAAACATCAGGTGAGCAAAGTCGGTCGCGTGATCAGTTCTAAGAGGGGTCTGAGGTGGACAAGAGGGTGACTGGGGTACGCACCCTGCTGTTCTCTGAGCTGAGTTACTCGTGGCTACATGGACTCATCCGTGTTCCCACACAAGACAGCCGCAAGCATGCCCTTTGGAAAATAAGGCCCTCAGCTTTTTCTTGACCACTAAGAGAGTTATTACATCTTCAGTTTTCTCAGCCTAAGTACACCCAGCCAGTCTTTGCTCTGCATGGCTCCGGCATGCCTCCATTTCAGTTATAACTCCAGCGCACCAATCCTTCGCAACCTCAGCTGAAGCTTCAGTCAACACAGTGCTTGCATCAAGCGCGCTTCAGGACCTGCTCTTCGGCCTACGAATCACTGTGTGAAGAACTGTGCATCGTGACTTCTGACCAACTACTTCACTTCTCTCAAAGTCAGTGAATGGACACGCATGTCTGACACGTGGCTCCTGCACAGACAGCAGACTGTTTCCCGTGGGAAGCAAGCACAGCCTGTGAGGTGGTAGGTTCATTTTACATGTCTACTTTGAATGACATATAGTCCAAAAACTCACGTTAGCTGAGGATATATGAAATTATACTGGGTAGAAGAAGGGGGAAAAGGCAGTAGTTACAGAATTCTTGCTGTCATTATTATTTCATTGCTTTGACCAACTAAATTTTTAAACATGATCCTCTGAATATTTAATGTCTTGTTAGCTAGACTAAGTATTACAGTTCAAGAAACAGAGATAGTTTCTGCTTCCCCATTAGGTAAACCTGAAAGATGGGAGCTGGGAGTACTTTTCTGTGTGTTCAGGCCACAGCACAAGGCAGAGACAGAGATGCATGGACTATCACAATGGAGTAAGAAATGAACTGGAAACAGCTCTCAGTTCAGTCAGATCCTGCTTTGTTGTGTGTGCTTTTGGGAAGCTTGCTTACTATCTTTGCCCAAAATAGATGCTGCTGCTACTAGGGCAAGCCTCCAGGCAAAGCAGCTTCACTGTCTCTCCAGCCCATTCTCAGTGTCATCCTGCCCCTGCCTGGTTCTGAGATCTGGAAGTTAAGCTGGATCAGAGGTTTCCATTCAGGTGTGAGATGGAGCTCAGCCCAGTCAGAACCCAGGAGAATAAACAAATGACAAAGCTGTTCCTTGTTCTAGCCTCACTCTTTAGGGCAATGTTGTGAAACAGAATGTCCTCTTGATGGCAAGACTCCATGACTGTGCGGCCCTACACAGTCGCCACTAGTCCTGTGTGAACCCAAGCCCGAGTGTGGCAAGTGCCTCCAAGGAACTGAACGTTTCGGTCATTTTAGCTAAACAGCTCTATCTGTGGTCAGCTACTGGCCACCCTAACAGTGCAGCTTTAGACTTAAAGGTGCCACATTCATGTCTGGTAACTTGTTACCAGATGATGCAAAGAAACACGTCCATTTCATGAAGGGGCAGGAACTGACCTTTAGAGCCACTCAATACCAGGCCGAGCTCAGCACAGATGGCGGCACACGTGATCTCATAGTCGTGTCCTGTCAAAATGGCCCGGGGAGTGGTGGTCTCACCTTTGGGAAAAAGCAGATGAAAAGAACAAATCAAGTACTCATAGGGGATTACCTCCCTCGACTCAAACCAAATAGTAACTTGTTCCTAATTCCCATAATGCCCAGATCTTTAATTTATTGTTTCAAACTATGTTTAAAAAATTCTGTTATAGAACTAGATCCAAGAGGGCCTCCCCTGGTGGCACAGCGGTTGAGCGCTGGGCTGCAAAGCTGCCCACAGCCTCTGCAGCACTGGTTCGATCCCCGGCCACTGGCGAGGGTCCCACATGGCGCGTAGACCTCTCCTGCCGCCCGCTGCTCCCCTCAGCAGTGTATTTCGTCAGTCTGCCTGTTCTGTTCCCCATTCTGGCTCTGATGAATTCTCTCACCCTCCCGCGCTTCTGACTGTACCCAGTGCTTGTATAAATAAATAAATAAATCTTAAAAAAAAAAAAAAAAACTAGATCCAAGAGATATGCTGTAATTTCATGACCAACTGTTACTAAATTTCTAATCCTTACATGATGATCAAACTATAGTTGAAAACTGAGTAAAATAAGACCAAAAGCTGCATTATGAAATTCCTCAGATAGTTTTCGAATAAACATAAGCCCCCTGATTAGATGATCTATGGGTGAGTCTAACAGCAGGAACTTCGGCTTAATTCATATTTCGAAGAAAGGCAGAGCTGCCTCCCCCCACTACCTCCCACCCTCCTGGCCCAGAGGACACGAGACCCCTGTCCTACTGAAGACAGTCTGGAATAGGATTCTGACCTCCAGGCTTTGTATTTTCCTGATACATCAATTTCACAGAGTATTTTTCCTATAGTTCATTCAAAGAATAAAGGGGAAAGTTCTTACAAGTCTGATAACAACTGAAAATGAGGGGAGGTGGTGAAGAAGGGGCACAGAGAGGGACTGTCAAATAATGGGAGCTGTTTCAAAACATTTTCACAGGCAGCAGGAAGGCATTCTGTATTCTGGTCCCAAACTGAACAGAAGATGGTTGGCCTATAAGGATCCTATACCATGGATGGCCCCAGAACAGAGAAGTGAAAAATAATGGATTTGATTTTTGCCAGGCCACAAGGATAAAAAATTCTATATTTAGCCTGAGGAATACTATGCTAAGACTAAACAAATCTTTTACTTTTACAGTCTTTGGGGGAAAAGCCACAAAAAAAAAAAAAAAAAAAAAAAAACCCCTTTTAAATGAGACTAGAGAGCAATATTCTGTAAATATCTTGGTTTGGATTGGCTTTAATGTGACTGATAAATGCCACTGAGTATCCACAAAGGTGCAAATGTAGCCAAAACGCAGCTCACCCCACCAGTGGCAGAACTCTCTGTAAAAGAAGGAGTCGTCTCCCCAGCCCCAGGCCCTGCGTCAGCCTTGGAATAGCCATGGACTGAGGAGAGAGCTGGTCAGCCAGGGAAAGTCCAGCAGAAATGTGCCCTGGGGAAGGCAACTGCTGGCTGTCAAAGAAAATGAAACTAGCTTCCAAAGGAGTGGCTTTTTATGATGGGTCGATGAGTTCTCTGCATTTCATGCAAACTATGTGTACACACTCATGTTCTTCTGTGGGAAACAGAAGAGGAGGAATTGGAAATAGGTTTTACTGAATGCACAGAGATCCATGACCCCCCCCAAAAAACAAAAACAAATTAAAAAAAAAAAAAAACAAAACAAAAAGGGTGAGAGGCCCCAGCAAGAAGACAGAGGTTCAGCACCTGCACATCTAGCCCCGTTTCCCTGGAGCCTGCATCTGCTTTCTGTGGAGCCATCACAGAGAGTCACACCAGTGCCCTTACTGGGATACATGCCACAGACATGTGTGTGTCCCCAGCCTCACAGGGGCTTTTGGTGAAGGCAGGGAGTTCTGAGACCAAGGTCAAAGGGGCATTATCTCAAACCGTGTACTACGCTGGCTGCACTGCGCACAGCCACACGCTGGGCCTGGGTGCAAGCTTAGTGACAAAGAGACGCCCCGAATGACATTACAAGGCAAGGGGATAAATGGACCTCAGAGCTTGGTTTCATGTGATCCCTGGTTTAAAAACTTTAGAGAGGGGCGCCTCCCTGGTGGCACAGGGGTCAAAGTCAGCACTGCCAAGCTACTGCCAACCACTATGGCGTGATTTAGATCCCCGGTCAGGGAGCTAACCCTGGCCACGGCGGAACTCTCCTGTCTCGCCCGCGGCTCCCCTCAGCAGTGTATTCAGTAGACCTGACTGTTCTGCTCCCCACTCTGTCTCTGGTGAATCCGCTCACCCCCTCACACCTCTGGCCCAAACCTCAGTTCCTGTATGCATAAATAAAAACATATCTTAAAAAAAACAAACAAACTTTAAGGAGGGAAACCCACCTCAATTTCAAAGCTGACATTTTCCTAGCCAGAAAGATTTTATCACAAGAGCAACTACTTTTTTCTTAAGAAGTACAAACCTTGGGGAGATTTTTAAAGAAGCAAATAACATAAGCCAACTTGTACTTAACTTTCTACAAAAGATAAGCCTTGCCAGAAAAACTAGAAATGAATGTATTAAGTTTTAAAATGTCCCAAAGCTTCAGCTCTCATTCACGGCGCCCCTTCCCTAAGACACCCTGCAAGCCAAAATGCTGAGTGACAGTATTTTTTAAATTGATGCCCCATTATGTGGATTGCAATGTTTTTATAATAAAAAAAATAAAATCATTAAGATCTAAGGAATGCATTTCAACATGACTCCCCATTTTTGGTCTGCATAAATTATTTTACGGTGGAAGACCTGTGTTTTTACTTGAATTGTCTTGGAATTCTGCAGTGGAAAGTGAAGGTTTGAAGGAAAACTGATGGCGACTGAAAGCAACCTGAGTGTAGGCCAAAGTAAACAAAGGACAAATGGGTGGTGGCGGCCCAGAGGACAGTCACTGAGACATGTCAGCACCAGCCTCTTGCTTTCTAGAGCTAAGAATATTTTCTCAGGGACATGGGGAGGAAGTGAGATTATAGTCAACTATTTTTGTTTCATGTCAAAGGGTTGAAATACTCTTCTAATTACCCTGTAGAATTATTTTACATACCAAATAGTCTATGACTATAAAGTTAGGGCTTAGGAAGCCTCATGATTAGCCCCAAAAAGTGGGTTAAGATACAAGCATTCCTTTTTGCAAACTCATAATTTAGACTTCTTTTTATAAGCCTAAGTACTTGCGTTATACTGGCACTATACACCAACATTTTCTCCCCACAAATCAGGAGACTCATACATACGGTGTGATTTCTAAACTGAAAAAAGATTTTTCTTTTCCTAGGGCCTTTAAATAAAGAACTGTTCAGTGCTAGAACTCTGGCTTCAAAGTTTGGCAAAATATTCCCAAACCCAGGAAGCAGGTTAGACAGCTCAGGAAATATAGGAAAAAAGGGGGCAGGGAAAGAAAAACAACAAATTAAAAGCACAAGGGTAAACTTATGATCATTGGGTTCTTCTCACAAACACTCACTGGCTTTCCAGTAAAAAGACTGTGCTACTTAAGTTCCCTCCTCTTTAGGAAATATACATACATGAATGGCCTCTAAAAGTCCACGCACAACAATATGAAGAGACATTTTGTCTTAGAAAGTTTTGGGGTTTTTTTTGTTGTTGTTGTTGTTGTTTTTTGTGGGATCCTCGCCGGTGGCCGGGGATCGAACTGGCGCTGCAGAGGTTGCGGGCAGCCTCGCAACCCAGCGTTTAACCGCTGCACCACCAGGGAAGGCCCAGAAAGTTATTTCTGGTCTTGTTTAAAAACCGAACTCAGTACCATTTCCTCTGCTGTGCATATCAAACAATCTTTTAAGTTTTCTTCTTAACCAAAAACCTGCTTAGAATAAATATTTGTTGGAAGTTCATTAGTTCCAATAAACCAAATGCTTTAAATATTAAAATTTGACTACAGTAAGCAGGATTATATGGGATTTAAATTCAACAGGTCCAAAATGTTTCAGGCTCAACAGATGTAGAGGAACCACATAGAGTGAAATTACTAAGGGTAGAAGGTATAGGCACACGGGCTTTATGTGTGGCCCACGGAACCTATTTATCTCTCTGTAGTTACACTGCTACACATCATCCTGGATCACAGGCAGACCAAGCATTAAGATCCCTCACAAAGGAAAGGCAGAAGTCGTACTTAAATCTGTCTATATTTCTATCTGGAGCTGGAAGTAAAATTTAGGAATCATATAACTCATCCTCATCGTAGCACTCACCTACATCTGTCCTCCCAGATTCTTTTCAGCCCACAGGGTTATACCTAAGAGGAAAATCATCTCGAAGAAGACAATATTGGCCATATATTACTTTTTCAAATTCCCTCAACCTAGTACTATCGCTCTCTGAAATCTCTAGCCCAAATTAAGAGGGTTGGGGAAGACTCCCTCAAAATATTAGGTTAATCCTTTGATAAAATTTTGCAGTAGTTAATGGATACAAAAAGTTTTGACTTTTGCTGAGATAGTAGAATCTGCCAAAAGCTAGGTCACAAAGCAGAAGAGTTTCCCTTAAGAACATTTTTAAAAGTCTTATTGCTTGAAAAATCATCATGGCTTTCAATAAAGCTGAAAGAAAAATTTATCTTGCTGCTACTTTCAGGGGCTGCACTTTAAACGCTTCTTAAAGAAAAAAGAAAAAAGAGGATAGATGTCTTGAACTGCTTTGAAAAGCCTGAGCAACTACTTCAAAGGAATGGGAGTCTTTGTCCAGAGAACAGGTTTATGGCTCCTGGTGCAGATCCTCAGCAAAGGCTGACAGGACACGCGGTGAATCTACAGGAATGGCCTTAGAGGAAGAGGAACAAGTCAGAGGACATTAAAGACAGTCCAAATCCGCTAAGGACACTAGGACACATCAGTGTTTCCAGCTGTGCACTTCTCAGAACATAATCCTAATACTATGTTTTACCTTGTAGACACTACTACAAGAGCCCAGCTTGCAGCTAAGCTTCACAAGCAAAAGACCCACTTAGCATTTACAGTAAACCCCTGTTTAAAATATTAG